GGGGTGTTTTGAAGCGGGGAGGTGCACACACGCAGCCGGACGAGGGTCTCCCTGCGTGGGGTTAATGGGGGAGCGCAGGGGGGCCTGGGCAGGATTTGGCAGGGGCGTAGTGGCTGTGCTGCCAGGGATTTACAAAGGAGGGTCCTCGCGGTGTCTCAAGCCATCTGGACATGTTGGGGTTTTTTTTAAACATGAATAATATTTTTATATAAATCTTGTTCTGTTAACCCTTCGGCAGCCTCCCCAGCCTCCCGAGCGATCCCTGGGGGTCTGTGGGGCGGTGAGGGAGGGGTGCGGGGAGGGGCGCATTCCCTCTGCCCCAGGTGGGAGCAGCCTCATACCCCTCATGAGCATGGTGGGCTGGAGGGGAGGGGTCTGGTGCCACCCACAGAAAGTCATCCACCTTTCAGGAGTGTAACAACGGAGCCTGACCGTGGGGATCCCCGCATCCTGCCCACCAGCGGTCCCAAGCCCTGCGCAAACCGTGGGGGAGAGGCTTCGTTGGGCACAAGCGTGCCTGGCTCCACAGGGAGACGGATGGGGGGAAAGAGCGTTTTGGGGGAAAAGAGCGTTTTTCACTAAGTAGGGGAGGAGCCAGAGCCAGTGGCTTCTGGTCTGCTGTGGCCTGGGGCCAGGCGGTGGCACCACAGGTGGTGACGCCATGGAGCTGCCTTGGAGTGGCATTGGAGATGATGGGCTCTGCCTGCGTCCCAAGCCAGCTCCCAGGGAGAGGACAGCCCAGTGCCTGCCATAGACGGGTTTTTCTGGGCACCATTAAAGACTGAACACAATGTGTGAAGATTGATTGCATGGCTGAGGAGTGGCTCCCCTGAGCAGCCTGAAATCTGCTTTTCTCACCACACCTTTGCCATTTCAGATGCACCAGCTGCCTCTCGACCAGATGGAAGTGTCACTGGTGCCCCTCCACCTACGCCTGTGTCTCCAACCACTCGCAATGTGACGATGCGCTGCAGATGAAGGTAAGGCCTGTCAAACTTTGCTGCTTTGGGACACCTTCCCATGTCGCTGTGCTGTTGCTGTTGTTTTCCTTCTCCTGGGGATGGAGGCAGATGGCCTGGGTTTGGCAGCGCTGCCCCAGCAGGTGGGGGGCAGCTCCAAGGATGGTGCTGCTCGGTGTCACTGATGTACTGCCTGGCCTTGGGGAGTCTCTGCAGTCGGAAATGCTGTGATGCACGCCTCACTTCCAAAGGCTCAGCAGATGGAGAACTGGAGGGCCGCTCTGGAGTGCTGCTCTGCGTGCATCGTGTTGGCAGCACTCCCCAGCAGCGTGGGTGAGTGTAGGGCTGAGACCAGGCTTGGACCATCTCACCTCGAGGTCCCCAGGCTGAGCCTCGCTTTACTTAGCGACCCTGGAGGATCTTCAGGCACTGGTGCTCAGCGTGGTCTCAGCCGCTTGTCCCGGCAGGCTCTGAGTCTCCTCCATCAGCGGCTGGCACTTGCTGGCCACGGCTTGTCCCGGGCTGGAGTTGGGGCACCCTCCTTTGCTGGTGTCCAGGAGGGGGACCCATGTGGGGCAGGCAAGCTGCAGCCGTGCAGTGCTGTGCCGTGCTGTGCCTGGAGGCATGTGTGTGTGAGGAGGCTGGCAGCCTGGCTAAAGCATTCGGCTGTCCCAGTGCCCTCAGTGGGCTGTCCCTTGGCTCTTCATCACCTCTCACGTCTGGAGCAATGCCACTACTTCTCTGCATCCTGGGACGCCTGGGTTTGAGTAATACAATAAACATAGCAATACTTTACAATTCGTTTAGCTTTGACTAGGCTGTTGCGGTATGTTAATAATTTGCTGGAGCACCACTGGTAGTGCTTGTCTAAAGGAGAAAATCGCCCCTTTCCAAATTATAGCTTTAATAACCCAGAGGCTCAGTGTGTTCCTGCTTCTGAAATTTAAATTGAAGTTAATTTAAATAAAATTGGCTTTTTAGCAATCAATCTGCCGTAGATCCAAGCCAAGCTTTTACACTGTAAATTGAATATCCCTTTGGCACTGGTGCTCTGCTCTCATCTCAGCTCTTCCAGCGGTTCCCCACGCTCGTCGCTGGCAGGAGTTTGGCCCCATGTCAGACGTCCCACCCTCACCCCCCGGGCTCAACTGCGGGGCCAGCCCCGGCGTCTGCTCCCCTCCAGCGGGGAGGAGGTGGGTGGCTGCAAGTACAGGGGACAGGGAAGGAGATGGGGCCACCATGTCACAGATCCGCGCAGTCATGTCTAGTGTAAAACCCTGGGAAATGTTTCCCGTCCCTGCTGGGTGGCAGCGGGGTGACGGCACCCGGCAGCGCAGGGCAGTGCTGGTCTGTCCTCTGGCTTATGAAGTGTGTCTGGATGTGTTGTGCTTCCTAGTGAACGTCTGGGCTGCTCATACCCGGTGGTTTGAGGAAGCACCCCTCGCTTTGTCAACTTCCCAGGTTTCAGAAAGTATCTGGTGTTTTCTCTTGCTGTCTGGGTGGGGGCTGGGCACTTGAAAACCATCACTGATGGCTGCTCCTCGTGTGGGACCCACGCGCTGAGGCTGTGTGGTGGGGTGTCTGCCCTGTGCCAGGACATGGGGAGCTGTGCTGGATGTCTGGCAGCGTGCCGGGCTGCCGGGGCATGAGGCTTCATGACGCAGAGGTCCGTGAGCCACGGATGCTCATGCTGTGCCTGCCCCTGGGCACCGGGGCTGGCCGCTGGGGGTGGGGGGCGGCGGGCGGCAGCTGCGGGGGCTGGCGGGCCCCCCCGCGGGACTGGCACGGGCCGGCCCCACCAGCGGCACTGGGTGATGGCAGGGCTGTGGGGGCGGCTGGGGACTGCCACGGATTGGTCCTCCGTCAGTGTTTTTAGTCATGGCTGGTATGTGGTGTGTTTCTCATTAAACCTAGAGGAAGAGCTTGGGCTGTGAGAGGACTTCTGAAGAAGGTCCCACATTTTTGGATTGACTTTTTCCTTGACAGAGCACCGCATAGCCTGCAACTTGGCTGGCAAACGCAAAAATTGTCTGAGATAATTTGTGTCCTTTGACTCAAGTGTAGCGGCTGCTTGAAAGGCAGGGGCAGAGCAGTTATTCAGCGGAGCTGGGAGCGGTGTGTTTTCCTGGCTCAGCCCAGGTCTCCCTGCCAGACCGCGTCTGGGGAGATACTGGGGCGGATTTGAGAACCAGATCTTGCCGAGTCTGGCTGCCCCCTCATTCCCTGCCCCACAAGGCAGAACCTGGCCTTGTCCCCTCCCCTGCGCAGGGCTCCTGGAGGGGGGATAAGCAGTAAAACTGGCGGTGTCGGGGTAAAACCCTCCTGCAGTGCCTGTGCTGCTGATGGGAGGGCACGGGGCTTCTCACACAGAGCCTCTTGGGGCCAGACCCAAACGATCCCTTGTAAAGCCAAACCCGAGGCTGTGGCTGTCGGTCAGTGATGCCTCCCGCGGTGCTGGAGTCGCTGTGGGACCTGGTGTGCCAACCATCAGGTCTGGTGGATCTCCATGGCATGAGACTGGAGGATATCCTGGGACATGGGAGCAAGCGGAGAGTGGGGTGAAGGTGAGGTGGCATTGCCTGCGGTGCTGCAAACGGGGAGCAGTCCGAGCCAGGGGCTGGAGGGACCATGGCCGTCTGGTCCCTCCGAGCTGGCAGGGCATCCCTGTCCTGTCCGAGCTCGCTCCTGCCCCTGTGTATATGCCAGCACCCTGTGCTCATGCAGCCACGTGCTGGAGGAACCAGCCCTGCTGAAATCAAACCCAACAGAGACATTGTTCTGCTCCTGAGCGCCAGTGCTGGTGTGAAGGGGGGGCACCACAGGTGCTGGGATGGCTGGACCTCAGCAGCCTAGTGTCGGATCTGCCTCCCTGGCCATGGGGACCATGCGGGACAGCATGGCATGGGGTGCTCGCGTATTGTCACAGGGAATAGCTGCTCTTCTGCCCAAAGGGAGGAAATTAGGGTCATGGACATCTGTCTTGAGGATCCTTATCTACGTGTTAGGGAGAGCTGCACCCACTCTTCCCACTCTGCTCCCATCACCTTGAGCAGATGACAAGAGCCAGGGTTACCCTCTGGCAGGGATAACTGTACCTATCCTTCCTTAAGGATAACCGTGCCTATCCTCGCTTTCTCGCCTCTGATCTCCTACTCCAGAGGTACAGTTCGGTTGGATGCTGCACCTGGTTTGGGCACATTCCTGTTTTATCTCTGTGCCTTTCTTAGCTGATTTCAGTGAGCAGCCTGCAGGACGAGGTGCTCTGTAGCCCTGGAAACATGGTGCCTCTTCCTACAGTCTTTCAGTAAACAAACCATTGCTGGCATGGCTGCACCTGAAAACTGGTCCGCTGGGAAGCCGGCATCATACTGGCTTCATATGCAGCATTTTAAACATTCAGACCCTTTGCCCTGATCCAGACGTGAATGATATAATCAGCTGGAAAGCTCTATTTCTAGCCGCGATGAACAGCAGGAGAAGGGGCTGCAAGACAACAAGTTAATCAGTCCTCTAAAGTGTATTTATCTAGCAAGCTATGCCAGCTGCTGTGACATGCAAGGACACACCATGCCATAGGAGCTTTTGCATGAATTTTCAGTTGTAGCCCTGCTGGTTTTATTTTAACTCTTTTGATTCTCCTAGAAGAGGCTTGGGACTGAAATCTCTCTCCAGTGCTTTGCTTTGTTGTTTTACTTCTCTTATCACGTGCATCTCTGTTATTTAATCTCCTTGTTTAGGCGGCACCAACTGTGCCTGGTTAAGATGAGTGTCCTGATAGAAACGAAGCTGTTTTCCACAGTCAAACAGTTCCCTGGCCCCTAGCTAGGTCTGGGGAAGGCAAGAGAGAAACCTCATGCTCACTGCGTGTCTGGCACCCGGGATGTGTCCTGCTGGGCATCTTGGCGCTAGGAGGGCAGGCTCTGCCTCATCAGAGCAGCAGCAGCACTGTCATCAGCAGAGTCACAGTGGGGTAACCCTTAGTGCAAATGAGAAGGAAATCTTGCCTGCTGCAAAGTATTCTGCATAATGCAGCAAATATTTTGTTGTCTTTTACCCCAATGGCTCCACTGTTAAAGGAATTAATCTGGATATACCCTGGGGCAACGGAGAATGTGGCTTCATCTTTGCTGTAGTTTTGCAGTGTGATTTACATCTCATGAGAGAACAGGATGGGCTTGTCATACAGACTTGAATTCTGAGTCAGCGCCAGTATCTGAGCCATCAATTTAAAGTGAGAACAAAAGTAGGGGGACAGATGACCTTTTAAAATCATTTTTCAGCTTCATTTAGGTCTTTCATTTCAGCTGTCCTACTGCTGCAGTCCCCTTGCTGAAGCCCCTACAGCTCATTATACCCTTTCCTCTGCGCGCACACGCGTGCACACACAAACCCGTGCACACTTCTGAAATGACACTGTGCAGGAGGGAGATCGCTGGAAAGCAAAATCTCTGCAGGGGCGTGCAGAAATGTGCATTGCGATGTGTGAGGCATCATCTTCCCGCTGGCAGGAGGGGGGTCACACCAGCAGATTTGCCATTGTAGGCTGCAGTGCCTCCTTTTAGTGTCACTCTGGCCCCATCTTCTAACATTTACGTACATGTAATGAGGGAGCTGCCCAGAGTGGCAGCTGAGGAGTGCATATGCATTTGCTTTTTACCTGGGAGGACATTTTTTCCAGCACAGTAAGATGAGAGTCCAGGCTTGGCAGCCCCGCTGCCCGGGAGCCAGGAGCTGCCGGTGTCCCCGAGCTGGCAGAGGAGCCGGTCAGGAGCAAGGGGGGAATTCCTGCTGCACTCCTTCCTTTGCTGGCCCATGGCTGCCAGCCTATGGCTGCAGATGAGCCCTCCTGAAAACCCGGCCACCCTGCTGTGGTTATCTGACCGCTAGCAGAGGGGTGGATCTTAAGGCAGTGCCAAAGCCGGTGACTCGGGGGAGGAAGGCTCCACATGGCGTTACTGCTCTGTGCATCATAGTGCCATTTTAGTATTTCACTTTCTGGGGTTACAGTGTGATCTGACTTTAAAGATGTAGTGAAATTAATTTTATCAATGGCACCGATGTGTCTTCTTGCTTCATCATTGAGGATGCTCAGCATGCACCCAGCTAACATCTCTTTTTTTTGTCTTGTTTTGTACCTAACAGAAGAAAATTGACTGTCCGCGAATTGTACCTGCCTCCTTGGACCCAATGCCCACGGGAGTATCTCGGGACATTACAATCTCACTGGCCAACGCGACTTTCTCTAAGGTAAATGAGTTCCTGGAGAGATCAGGAAGGTTCAGATGAGCCTAGGTTGGTGTGCAGCAAGGTGGCCAGGTCAGCCGAAGGGAGTTTAAGTACGAGCTGGTTTCTGCCTTGGGAGCAGGTGATTGCGTTAGCAGCCGAAATCACTGTATTAATAAAAGATGTTGGTGGAAAGCAGCCACCCCGATGGCAAGTGAGGTTGCCTGGCAAAGCTGAAGGGAGATGCTGTTTGTGCACAAGCATTCTCCAGGGATCTCCTGCAATTAGTGACAGGCGCTTTGCATTTGGTGGGAAAAGGAGGTTTATACACCTTGTAAAACAGTCACTAGAATAAAATGTTTTGGGGAAATAAAATTCCTGGTTTCCTTGTGGGTGTTTGCTCCACCACAGAGCGTGCCAGTGTCGCGCTCTCCCAGTGCCGTGTGCCAGCCTGGCCCCACCACCCCGCATTTAGGAATGAAGGACAAAGCCCAGAGCTGCGGGCAGAGAGCCCTGTGCTGGCTAAGCCACTGCTTGGAGTACAGCATAGAAATATGTTTTAACTTAACTTCTGGTGGTCACTGGAGAGCTCTTTTTTTTTGTGAAAAAATCCTTTCTGTGAAATTTTCTGGCATGTGAATTGTAATAGGGCGAAAAGCAGGAGTGGACGTCAAATGGTGCCTTTGGAGATGCGTCACGCGCCAGGAGGAACCAGAGGAATTTCGGGCAGGGAGGCTGGGCACTGGAAAAATACTTGACTAAGCTCTGATATTTGTAGAAAGCCGCCCTGTGTCATTTTGGGTCAAGTCTTCAGTGGGGCCCGTGGGGCCTGGATCGCTGTGCCCCTGTGAAGGATACCTGCATGCTGGACAGCCAGGCACCTCCTCTTTCTGCAGGGAAAGGAGAAGGTTGGAAATGCTGGTGGTGCTGCCCGGCTTGCTGCGCCAGGAGCTGGGGGGGGCCTGCCAGGCACTGTGGAGGCACCGCTTCCGCCGGACCTCGTGCCCTCCAGCGCGGGGGCAGAAACGAGCTCTCCCTGCCTGGCTGGGGCTGCCATTTCCTGCACAGGTCCGGCCTCTGCAAACGAGGATGTGCCCTCCACAATCAGCAAAAAAGGGCAAGAAATCCTTCTTCCTCTGTGGCTGCCGGAGGTGGCTGAAGAGGAAGCAATACTGCATGTAACCCGATAGGAAATGAAGTCAGCAGGAAAAGGGCCAAGGCACCGCCGCTGCCGGGGCGGCTGGAGAGGCTCCGGCTTCCTCCCACCATCATCTGCAAACTGTCCTGGGGCGCCGGGCGGGATTCCTTCTCCTTTCCTCTCCACAGGAGCTTGTGAGCGCTGCCAGAGCTCAGAGTATCGGAGATGCGTGCCCTGACACCTTTGCTGCTGCAGGGGGACTGCCTGGGCGGTGGGCGAGGGGCGAGGGGCATGGGCCAGCCCGCAGAGCAGAAGCTGCCTGGGCACAAGCGATGCACTGGAGGAGATTCCATTTTCCCCCTCACGGCCGTGTGTGTGTTCACTGAGCCAGCAGCTGCCTGCCAGGAGTCTGGCGCTTTCTTTCATGTCTTTTATCAGATCTGTCAGTTTTCAAAGGGTAGTTAGACCTCAGTAGTGGTGGAGCATCAACCTGCTTGGAGATAGGATTTTTTTCTGCAGGATGGGGGCACAGCAGTAACTCGGGGCAGGATATTATCCTTGTGTTATCAGGAAAACAGCACAGAAAATCTGCCTTTGAACATATTCCTGGCTGGGTCCTCATTTGAATTAGAGATTTTCTCGGTGCAGTTGTTGGGAGGAGAAGGAAGGTGACTTTGAGCCCAGATTATGGACTGGTTTGGTCTGGTTTGGGCGAGGTGGCTTGGGACCACATTGGCTCTCGGTCTGCATTGCAGCATGAGCTCTAAACACCCCCGGTCCAGAGGAACCCAGGTACCCCACTGGTGGGGGTTACGAGAGCATAGCCCGGCCAGGCACATCTCCTGGCATGCGTGTGCCGTGGGTCAGGCACGTCTCCTGGTCTGTGAGTGCCGTGGGTCAGGCACGTCTCCTGGTCTGCATGTGCCGCATATCCCTGGCTCCAGGAGCGGCTGCCCCACGCCTGGTCATGACACTTTACAGCAGCACACTGGGCAAGAGCAAGGGACAGGGCTTGGCTCCACGTGTGATGCTCAGCCTGCAGCAGTTTTATGTATAGGTGTGTAACAGAGCAGGATTAGGCACAGATCCCAGCCCTGTTTACAATATCGGGTTCTGATCTCTTATTTGACTTGAACGCAGTTCAGGTACTGCTGGCAGAAATAAGGTGAGACACTGTGCCTGCCGTATCGGTTAACTGAGATGGGGAACTGCACAAAATGGTTGTTGCAACCATTCTGCCCTTGTCTTCCCTCTCCCAGGAGACAGCTCTGGAGTGCCATTTTGGGACAGACAGGACATTTGAAGCCCGGTGGCTGAACTCCTCCGCCGTGGAGTGTGTACATGTGCTGGTGAGTCGCGGTGTGAGGCTGCCAGCCCCTCTTCCCCCCACAGCATGGGGCAGGCCCAAGGGCAGGGAGGGTCTTGCTCCCAGCCTCCTACCCAGCAGCTGGGACGCCACCTCCCCTCCTCCCTCCCTCTGCTTCCAGCTGAAAAAAGTGCAAATCAGGTTCGCCCCTCTGGCAAGAGGCTCTTTGCGTGTGCTGATGCTGTAAGGGCTTTCATGAGTCGCTGATGCTGCGTTGTCTGCTCCGTGGGTGTCTGCAGTGGCTCCAGCCCCTGCTCTGCTGGGGTTTGGGAAGGAGCTGCTTGTTTACCTTTCTAAATGGGAAGAGTTCAGTTCAGGAAAAAAATTTGGCCACCTTTCAGTGTTGCTATTTCTGTAGCTTTTATTCTGAACGAGGAATTGGCCTGAGAAAATGCTCAGACGCTCACCGAAGAGTGGTGCACTGTGGCTGTTGGAGGGCAAACTGCACCTCTGAAATGCAGCAAACATTTGGGCTTCCACTGATGGGAATATTGCAAGTAGAAGCTGGAGAGGAGCACTTTCCCATCACGTCACCTGCAAAACTCTGTATTGTAGCCCGGCACTGAAAATGTGCAGACCGGCCAGTCTGTTAGTTTTCCTGTCCGTTTCTACTAAAAATAGCAGCAAGCCAGGGCTCTGCTCTCACTGAGGTGTGCACCATGCCCCGGTGCCCTTCGTTGGGACCTCAGCAAAACAATTAAAACAGAAAACAGCCTTCCCTCTCTTTCTCTCTGCTAAAGATGACACCCTCCTGTACTGAGAAGCAGTGGTCAGAGAAGCCTCACAAGGAATGTTAATCCATGTAGTGTGCATATGGAACCTTGTATTTTACTAAATTTCCTAAGCTTTTGTTTATTTGTTTTTTTGTGTGCAGCTCCACACATCAGAAAAAAGCCATCTCTTCCCAGTGAACCTTCAGCTGAAGGACAGACCAGACAGATTTATCGACAGTCCAGAGATGATGACAGGTCTGAGTTGAAAATATTTTTATTCTGCTCTCATCTGGTCAGCTTGAATGACTCTCAAATCCTGACAAAGTTTATGGGTTCAGGAGAGAGACCATGGCTCAGCCAGGCACAGCTCCATTCTTTCTCTCAGGCACACGCAAAAAATGTATTTATGCAGAGTTGCACCCATGTGAATGTGTGCCCAGAAACCAGACGGATGCCCATGGACATCCCCTTTACACCCAGGGAAAGTCAAGCCCCATCCTTGAGTGCAGGCAGTGGTTGAGGTCTCGCCGGCCAGCGGTGCATGGAATGGGGTGTGCTGGTGCTCTCGGTCACAGCAGAGATGTGGGGCATCCCCAGGGTCAGGGAGGAATTCCTCCTGGAGGAGATAAGGGACCGGGGAGGGCTCTGCTGTGAGCTCTTACAGGAGCGTGGCATCAAGGTTCAGCATGCTGTAAAAATTGAGTCTTTTTTTTTTTTTCCCTCCTGTGCTGAGAAAGAATAAAATGTGTAAACACATTTCACCCCTGGCCCACTCTCTGTCTCTGGGAAGAACGCTCGGATTCCGAAAAAAGCCCTTGCTACATCAGCAGACTAAGGAAGGCAGGCAAAGAGTCAGATTAAGAGTGCACTCAGACAAGGCATTTAGATAGGACAAGCCCAGCCAGTCGGCCAACAGAGCCAGCGTTTGCACAACAGCCGCCTCTCCCTGCCCTGGCTGGAGACTCGGTGTTGCACCTAGCTGTGTGCTCTCACTGGAGGCAGCAGCTTTGGGCTCTTTTCCCTCTCAGTAGTGTCAGCAATTGCAGTAGAAGGAACTGATTTACCCTAGATGCAAATGAGAACTAGATGCCTGAAGTGAGATTTTCTTTGGAGGATAGCTGTAATAGGTAGAGAGACATTAACACCATCAGCCACTGACCCAGGATAAAAAGGTTTCCCCATAGTAAATCCCAGTGTATAAAGGAGGCTTATCCTGCAAAGCATTCCACGTTGGTGAAATAACCTTTGAAATACCAGCATGGGTAGGCATGAGACATGACTTCCTTGCAGAAGGAAGCGGGTGTCCATATTTTTGAGATACAGAGGTAACCCCGAGGAGAAGGGTGGGAGATATGAGCTAAGGCTATTTTGATGTGCAAGAGAAGACTCTTAGTTCTCAGTGTGGGTGGTGCTGGGAGCGGGAACAACAGCGGAAAGAGTGTGGAATCCCCTCCCCTCCTGCACAGAGAAAGAGCTCGCTTACACAGACTGTGTTTGCATCAATCTGAATTTGCCAGAATATTTGGAGATCCTGTGGGACTGTTAGACTGCTCTGGCTCCTCCTTGCCTTGATCAGATTGGTGTGAGTAAAATTAGAGAGGCTGACTTGCAAGCAGAGACAGAGATCTGCCGGGCCAATTATAAATGTGTGGATCTTTTGTACTGTCTTTAATGGAATTACTGTTATTAGAGTTTATTATTTCAATATTTATTAGCTTTTATTGTAAACTGCGTTTTGGTAGTCCACTGAAGGAATCCCAGCTCTTTGCTGTTGGGCGGAAAACCAACCAGTGTAACTCACTGAGTGGACTCAAGACGAGGTGAAAGCAGCTCATTTTTTTGCCAATGACATTTCATTAGCACAAGCACAGGCAGACCGTTGAAGGCTGAGGGATTCATTAGTTGCTTATAAAGTGCCTTGAGATCCTCTCGTGAACAGAAGTGCAAAATGTGACTGTTTCTTTGTTTTATGTTCTCCTGCAAAGTCTCCTCTGGGGAAAAGGGTGTGAAAGCAACGTTTCCTGAGTGTTTCTGGCTGTTTATCTCAGCGGATACCCACACTCCAGCGGCAGAAGTCTTTAGGCTGGAGAGGAAATGTAACCTAGGGCACCAGCTAATGAAGAGGTGAAAGCAGTGTAGGAAAATGATGTGGAAGCTGAGCTGGGCAGATCTGAAGGGAGAAGTCAATGAAAGGGGCCCGTGGTCACCAGGGGGAAGGAAAGGAACTGTAAACACTGTACAAAGCACTGTAACCATCTGATTTTTGTCAGAGTGTGGAAGCAACGTGATTGCTTTACTAACAGGATGGAGCCAGCTTTGCAAAGCAGCTTCCCATGTGGATGCTGAGAGTTGGAAACATGTAGCATAAATTGACAAAAGGTTCCGAGTTTGGGTGTTGTTTGTTTTTCAAGGGGAGGAAAAAGGAAAAGAAAGTGCTAAATTATATTGCAGTGAGAACAAGCACCCAGTCCTTCTGGGAAATCTTCAGGATGGCAGCCAAGCGCTGCCTCATCTTGCTGTATGTGCAAGCTGCTCTGCTCATCCACTGGATTTCAGATGTAACTTGGATTAATATAGCTGGGGGGTGGCGGAGGGGTGCTTGACTGCCTCAAGCTAAGCAAAGCTATGAAAGTCTGAGGCCCAGGAGCTCACATTTTCTGTTGTCTCTTGTGGTTTAGTGGAGGTGTACAACTGTGTGACTGGGAGTGCTGACTGTTCTCAGTGCCTGGGGAGGGAGGACCTGGGGCACCGCTGTGTCTGGAGTGAGAGCAGCTCCAGCTGCAGGCTGCACAGCGAGCACCCCCAGATCTCAGATGTCTGTCCAGCTCCGGAGATTAAGAAGGTAAGACCCGAATGCAATGTGGAGGGCGTGCATGGCACGGCAGGCAGTGCGGAGGGCTGAAACTGGCTGCACAGTCCCCAGCTGGGGGCAAGGATGAACCGCGCTTTGTCCCTGGCCCAGGACAGGGTCAAGACCAGTGCTGAATTATTCACTGACTTTCTGTGCTGTTGAGTCACCTGATGCCAAGGACATCTTGCTAGTGACAAGATCCAGTCTGCATCGTGTTAGTGGGAAAAACAACGCCAGCACAATCAAAATGTCCCAGAGTTCCTGGGATTGGTAAAAGCGAGAAAGATTTGTAGGGTTGGCTGAAGGATTCTTATCAGCAATAGCGTTTAATGGAGCATAGCTGAAATGTGAATGTGAGCCCTATCTCCAGGCACATGTGCTCTGCAGTTCTGCTGAGATTGAGAGTTGGCAGAGGGACTTTTGGCATTATGCATTTTGAAATGAGTTTTATTTAAATTGTAGTTGAATGAATGTTTGTTGGGGGCATTTGGATCTGGGGTTCTGCTTAGAGATATGGTATGAGCCAACAAATTTGTCCCTGACAAGTAGCAAAGAAAGCATATAAAGCAAATCTTAAAATGAGCTCCCTAGGAAAGGAGAAGCTGGAGAGACAAAACAGCTAATGTGAACATCAAAATCGTCAAGGATATGGGATTTCTGTTCTTAGGGAGGCGTGTAGCAATAGCTGCTCAAAATCTGGGTGCTGTAACACTGCATGGAGGGACTGCAGAATCCCCATTGCCTGCCTCTTCCCTCTCGTCACTGTGGGAGAGGGGTGCTCCCCCGTGAGCCTGTCCTTCCCCAGCACACATCAAGTGTTATCAGCACCTTGCCAGAAAATAATGGAAGGAAACCACAGTTCAGGTCACAGAGCGTCACAGGACTCTGTCGCTATTTCCTTAGCAAACAGTAGCTGGTAAATCCAAATCCTCCAGAGTCACGCGAGCAAACAAACGCTCACAGGGCCCTCCTGGAGGGGAGAGCAATGCAGCAGGCGAAGAAGGGCACTGAGCCTGGTGGTGGGTCCTGACCAGCCCTGGCTGGCTTGGCCAGCTGGTGCCACCAGGCGCGTTGCGCTGGCTTTGTGTGCCATTGCCTTTGCAAAGGGAAAAGAGCCATTTCTGAACTGGAGGGATTTGTCTCACCCGCTGAATAATGCAGTCACACTGGCCCGGGATGCCCCTTGCGCGCTGGAACGGCATCATGCCCAGCACCCTGTCCCCTCACAGCGGTGGGGTCAGCAGCTGCCAGGTGAAAAACAAGTGGCGTAGGAGATGGATGGGGAGCAGCCTTCTCCTCCCGCAGCACCTGACTCGTCCTGCGCCCTGGGGTGCTGCGGTACTGGTGTCTTGGCCACGCTCCATGCATCAGGGCACTTTTTGTCTTGTTTTTGTCCTGAAAGGCCCCACTGTATTCAGGACAGCCCTTAAAAATGTGGTAGGACTCTCTCTTCCCAGCACACTGGCATCCTCTGGGTTTCCAAGTCTCCGGGTTTGTCTCTGCCCCAACTCCATTCGAAGCTGTGGTGTGGAAGGAGCGATGTTTCACCCCAGATGTGTTTGCAGCTGGGGTAATCCCTGACCAAACCCCAGTACCAAACCCAGTGATGACTTCTTGTTTGCAAAGCTGCAGCAAGGGGAGTGTGGCAGTGGGCCCGCTGTGGGGGGAGCAGAAGCATGAGGAGCAATTCTGTCTTCTTCATGGGGGACCGAGTGGGATGTGGACACAGGCACAGGCTCAGGGATGAAGGCAAGAAGCTTCCTGGTGGTTCTCCTCCAACCTTTCCCTTGGTGCCGCAGATCGAGCCGCTGCGCGGGCCGCTGGAGGGGGGCACCCTGCTGACCATCCGTGGGAGGAACCTGGGCCGCCGTTTCAGCGATGTCCTTGGCGCCGTCAGGATAGGCAGCGTGCAGTGCGTGCCACTGCCGGACAGATACGTCGTCTCTGAGGCGTGAGTGTCGGGAGAGCTGGGGAGGAGGTCCCTGTTCCCTTCGTGTCCCCTGCCCGTCCCTGTCCCTCCCTGTCCCCATCGCTCGCCCCGTTCCCACCCGCTGGCCTCGGGCTGCCTGGCGCATTGGGCCCCCGGGCAAGAGCAGGGCGGTGACCTGGCCCAGGTGGGGCGCGGGTGCCTTCCGCAGGCATGGGGCAGCTGATGCTGCCCGGCCCACCCCTGCAGCAGGCGCCGGCTAGAGCCGGGAGGACAAGGAGGCCGTGGGCTCTGCCCCTCTGCTCTGGTGGGGCGGCACGACCGCCAACCTCCCCTTTCCTGTCCACAGGATTGTGTGCCAGACCGGAGAGGCTCAGGAGGTGTTCTCTGATGTGGTGACAGTTAACGTGAGCCGGGAAGGGAAGTCCAGGGAGCGGTACTCTTACGTGGTGAGTAGCTGCCTCCTGGATGTTTCTTTGGTGATTCTCACGCTGACATTCCCTGCACCCTTTAAAACAAGCCTGCAGCCCCCCGTGCCCCTAGCTGGCTTGGAAAGAGGATCTATGACAAAAAGCGTCAGGGTCCTTGAGGAGCAGCTGACATGATTCCTCACCTGTGGTTACCTGAGCAAGGTCTGGCAAATCCGGGCTTGAGTGCGAGGGGCAGGACTGCAGCCAAGGTGTCGTCACACACAACCTCGCTCCCAGTCTCAGCTCCTGCAGTGGTTTATCGCTTATCCTGGCTGTATCATCATTTCTCTCTCCTGCTATAAAAAGGAGCTCATTTTTCTTCCTCCTCTTTTGCTAAAGTGCTGTTACAACCTGTGAGATTTTTTGAACCTTGCAAAGTCTTTTTGTGCTATGTAAGCTGTGTACCATGGACTCACATTATTTAGAACTGATACTCTTTGCTGCAGAGATTGTCTTAGTTTTTGCATGAGAATAATGTGCAGGGATTAGACTTGAGCTAACCCTGTGCCATTATATAAAGAAAAGCCCTTTATAGCTTTGTACTGTACTGTCTCACAAAGTTAACTTTCATCTCTATAAACCTGAAAGAAATCCATGCAGCTCTTCTCTTTCCTACAAGCACCCTCGTCTCTGGCTAGACGCTATTCACGGGCAACCCCATGTGTCCAGGGCAAACACAACAGGATGGGTGCCAAGGGCATGCTGTTTACTCGGAGCCTTTGTGCTTGTGCTGGAGAAGAATAGACTGTGCTGCAGTCTAGTGGCTTGAAAGAAGACTTGAGCCCCAGGAAACGACATTTGATTCCTGGTAGCCATTGTGAGGAATTTAGGGCAGGATCTTGGAGTGTAATCCCCCACCCTGTAACTGATCACGTGTTAGGTATTTAGTTCAGAGAGGTTTGCACAGAGTGCAGCCAGCGCAGGCACAGCACATCCCGGCGCCCCGTAGCAGAGCCAGACCTGGCAGCGCATGAGGAGGGGAGCGGTGAGGCGAGGGCACTGCCAGGCTTGCCTCAGCGGTAGTTCCCAGGAGGACATTTGCTCTGGGACCCATTCCCATCATTTCCAGGCATCCGTGTTCACATCCGAAACGTCTTGGAGGTCCAGCAGTCTGGAGTGGAGCAAGGTACAGCTGGGGTACGACCCAGTAACGGACCTTGGGTTTGGGATTTCTGGTGCATTGCCATCAGGATGTGTGTGCTGTCTCGGCCACATCGCCCACTGCCGGGCCAGTTGTCTTCTTGACAAAGAGGAGAAGGGCCCGAAGAGTGGGAAAGGGCTGGGCAGCTTCTTCACCAGCTTTCGGTGTGCAAGGAAAAGCCCTCTCAGGAAACACCTGTAAAAGCACCAGCACTAAACAAAGCAAGACGAGCAAAAGCCAGTCGCTGAACTCAGACTGGGTCCGTGACAGCTCTGTGCTGGCAGCTCCTGAGCAGTTTTATGGCAAAGGCTGTCCTCCCAGGAGCAGGAGAGGAGCTGTTTTCTGCTTGGGTGGCACAGCAGAAAGCTGTCTTGTGCCTATCTCAGCAAAGCTTGGAGAAGAGATGAGACAGTGCCCTGCTCTGTGCATATGCATGTCAGGGAGTGAAGCTGCACGATGTGTAGCTGCTGCTGTGTTCCACACCAAAAGTGGCTTCTGCACCATTTGCAAACTAAGCAATGCCGTTTCATTTTCTTGATTCTCCTCTCACATACAATGGCATGAAGATGGACTACACCATTCAAGGCTGGTCTCAGTGAGACCTGAGCTTGAGCTTGATAGCAGTTTACCTGAAAAAGACTAAAAGACTTTTAGAACTGCCCTTCCAAAGAAAGTGCTTTGTAAAATACCAAATATTGTTTGTGTGCTACATCTTTCAAAGCCCCTGTTAGACGTATCTAGAAGAGACAGTGTTCAGCTGTAATTCTGCTGAGGAGGAGGGAGAAACGTGATTGAAAGAGTTCTCCAGGACATTATATCAGGCTATGGATGAGCTGAATTTGCCAAATGAGCTGAATTTGCAAAAGTTGCGATGGCGGCAATCAGTGCTGGCAATGCACTGAGAGCAGTAACCACTGGCTCTTGCTGAGGGGAAGAGCTGGAGGTCTTTGGGGAACATGAATAATCCTCTCTGATGCTGTTGTAACTGCAGATTTGAATGCATAGGTTAGGGGCCAAGGGCAGGAGGCAGCTGCCTGCAGACACGCAGAGAAATACAAATTAAGAAAATGAATCCTGTGGAAGTGGGTAATGGTCAGAAACAACAGAGGAAATGGCTGTAGAGAAATAAAGCAGTCTGAGAGTAGGACAAGGGCAAGGATAGCTATTAATAAGCATGTTTGTGTGGCTGGGATTGACAGGAAAGGGCATACCGCTTCATGCGGTATGAAGCAGCTTAGCCCATGTTCTTCAGTCTGCCTCGGTCAGTTTTGCTCTGCGGCTGCAGCGAGGGGCAGGCTGTGGCGGTGAGCAGGCTTCAGCTGTGCTCCCCAGCCCGGCAGATCTCATGCCTCCAGGGTTTGCAGTGTTTGACCGGGAATTACCAAGTGTCTTATGGAAGGGTCTTGAAATAATTATTTGCTCTGCCCTTGGTGTCCTATTCAAACTGGAGCAGGGAAGTTGCCCAGCAGACTCTCCTGGGGCGCTCTGCATAGCAGGCATGAGGGTTCAGCACTGCCTTAGTTATCAAAGCCTCAAGCTCATGAATCTCAGGAAGATTTCCAGGGGCTGCAAATGCAGATAACATACATTCTAATTTCTTCTGAAAATGGTGAGAGGCAAAGTAACTTCCCCCTTAGTTCCTGTCGCCTCAAGAGATTCAGATTTGAAGCTTCCTTAAGAAGGAGTTTGATCTTCAATTATCTAGACCCAGGTGGCTGTTCTCACAGATCTCAAGACCATCATCCAGCAGGGCTTTAGCATTACCTTCGCATTCAGGAAGAAAGGGATCTGGAAGGACAGAGGTGGTGGGAGCTGGAATGAATGAGAAATTTCCTTTTGTTGATGGACCTTGAGCTGTCGCCAGCTCTGGACCCTCCATTGGAAATCTCAAGGGACTGGTGGGATCCTGGGCTCCAGTTTGGACTTATGTCTCATTTATTGCCAGAATTTAGGGACTGCAGAGAGTCACAGAGGTTTTATATGATCTCACTCCTCAGCACTTGTACCTCTCTCCTTGTTCTGAAACCCTGCCAGCAAAAGCTTTTGTTGTGCTGCTGTTTCAGAGCCTCACAATACTGGATACTTAAATTTACTGAACCAATTCCCCCATGCAGTGTGGAGTATCCAAATGTGAATTTGCCAGGCTAGAAAACAGATTTCCCCTTTGTTTTTAGCTTCCCGTGGTGCAGTCCATAGCTCCCCTGAATGGCCCGAAGGCTGGAGGAACCAGAGTGACCATCAGAGGCAGCAGGCTGGATGTCGGCTCTGAGCTCCGTGTCCTTGTCAATACCTCCAAGCAGTGCACTGACCTCAGGTGGGACTGGGACTGGGGACTGGCACTGAACTAGTGACAAGAGCCAAAGCATTAGGAAGGATGATATTGTCCCCCAGGAGATCAGGAAGAGCTGGGGTTTGGGTGGGGGGCACCACTGCATGCTGCTGCTAGCCTTGGAGCTAGCGTAGCATCCCCACTGGCCCACTTAGCTGCTGCCTGCTCCATTTCCAGCACCCCATCAGCCTGGTATCCCCGGAGCGGAGAGGTAGTGAGGAGTGAGGCAGAGCTGCGGTGCAGGTGCCTGACACCGGGATGGGGCGAGTTTCTTTGGCAAAGTGATGGCGTTGGTGTTGCCGTGACATGGCGGCAGCAACCAGCAGCAAACGAAGTGCTTCTCATGCACCGTTCGCAGGACACTGCCAGGCCCCTTGGGTGGTCTGGGACCAGGACCAAAATCCTGGGAGCGAAGCAGACATGGGCTTCGTTCCCAGATCTGCTGGAGGCAGAAGGCACCTGCACGCCCAGGGTCCCACTCCTGCGGCAGCTCGCTGGTTGGAAGAAACCCCTCCTCCTGTACGTTCCCATCTCATCAGCGGAAAGAAGTAGGAGCCTGCTCTTTTCCTTTGGCTGTTTGGGAAATCAGTCTGGTAGCCTGGGATGGTATATGCTCACAATTGCTTGTTAGTAGGCAATGTAATTAATAGGTGATTGGCATGTGACTGGAAGCTCTTTCTTGCTTGTCTCTGCTGACCACCTCGCTTCCCGGGGGAGCTCAGGTCCACAGTACCTGGCTCCGGCCGCTCTGTCTGCTGTGGCTTTCTGCAGCTTACCCTGCCTTTCCCTGCGCAGCCGCAACGACAGCACCATCACCTGCACCATGCCATCCGCGGAGCTCACCACGGCCGTGCGAGTCTGTGTCCAGTTCGAGAACAAGTCTTGTGCCAGCTACAACATCACATTCAAGTATGAGAAGAACCCGATTATATCGGACATCAACCCCAAAAAGAGCCAGATCAGGTGAGATCCCTCCCCCAGCAGAGACAGACAAATCTGCCAGGATTTGCGGCCTTTGTTGAGATCAGCGTCTTAATTTTTGCTGGATGCAAAAGTGAACAATGCTCTTCCATCAAAGCGCAGAGCTAATTGGAGTATCCTGGTGTAGCCCACTGCAGGCAACGTGAGCTCGCCCTGTCTGTGCTTAAAGCCATCCAGACGCAGAGTAGATCCTAAGCAAACCCCATGTCAAGGAGCCCCAGGAGTCGCTGAAGCACAGCCAGGAGGGAGCGTATGGTATCGGGGCCCTGTGCCACACTGTTGTAACATCATGACTTCCATTTCAGAGCTGGCACGTGTCTGCATCTGCCTGCAAAAGAGAGGGTCAGCTCCAGGCTGGAGGGAGAGGGTCCTGCAGGGAGAAAGGGGCTTTCTCAGCCCTGGGGTTTGACACATTGCCTTGCAGACTGGTACAAAAGGGGCACTGCAGAGTGCTCTCAGGGTGCTTCGGGGTACCCCAGCACTGGAGCAGAAGAGGTCTCACACACCAGGACTGTCCGTAGCTCATTTCAGTGCATTTAAGACATGGAAAAAAGTCAGCCTTGGTAACTGTACTGTGTACACCTGGTGGGTGCTTTAGGGAGGTTCAGGTGGGGGTGTCTATGAGACCCTGAGGATTTTTCTTGGCAGTAAAACTGCTGGAGGATAAGCTGACATTTGTAATTTTGGATTTCAGCTTTCCCTGAGGTCACAGTATTTCATTTTTAAAGCGTGTTGCTTTTAATTTCATGTCTCTCCGTGGAGCTCTCAGGCTCCTGTTCCATTGGATACCATGGTGAAATCCCACCTTCCTCGGCTGTGAGGCCTGGAAAACCCGGGGCTGACCAAGAAATCTGAGAGTCCAGCGCCTGTGCCTGCAGGACCACGCTGAAAGCAGCACACTTGGGCACGAGCCCGCAGCAGGCTCTGCTGGTCTGATCCCCTTGGAGCAAAGCCGTGTCTCAGCATTCCCAAGCGCAGCGCCAAAGAGGCAGGCTGTGGGAAAGTTAATGATAAGGCACAGCAGTGACTCAGCCAACCTCAGCTCTTAGCAGGCTTGCGAACTATGCTGAGTGGCAAGAGTGGTATCTAAACACAGAGACAGTGGAAGAATGTCACTGCCCATGTTCACAAGGGAAACCACCAGGGTATTTCTCCGTCACCTTAGTCTGCTTTCTTAGTATTTACAGCAGTTTCCAAATTTCAGACCATTGACAACATGATAGCAGTCTCTCTCTTCAGACTGCTTGGTGGCTCATGTAGCCTGACTGCTCCGGTGCGTTGCTGGGCTGTTGACCATGAGGGTTCAATAACTTGTGTAAAAATTTAGCTGGATCTGATTTATCTTACCATATTGCTAAAATAATCTGTGTAAGCAAAGTTTAAAATAAAACAGAAGTTGTAAACTAGTCTGCAGATGTGACAGGCTCTTAGTTAGAAACTTGGATCGTAACTACATGGTAATACCTACAGCGTTGTAAAAGATTTCGGACAAGCTGACTTGCAGGGCCTTGGACCCAAAGTCACTGTGTCTGGAGCGGTCTTAAGATAATAGGATTTGTAAGTCCTGACTGTTCCTGACAGATACTCCAAACAGATCAAATGTGATATGGAGGAAAGGGAAGGTAAACCCAGGATATAGCTTCTACTGTCCAGAGCAGACAAGCAGTGCTGGTTCTCCACCCCTTGCTCTGCCTAGCAGCCTTGTGTGCATCAGGGCCCTCATTACCATCATTAATTGACTGCACATTGAGAGGCCCGTGTTTCGCATCCCCCAGGCAGCAGATCCAAAACACAAAACAACTTTCACATTTTGATCTAAATCAGAAGTGTCTGGGAGATGCAGGATCCCTGTCAGCCTTAAAGGGGTCTCTTCCCTCTCCAAGACACAGTTCTCTGCAGGTCGCTGCAGGGTAGGGACAGGGAATATCTCCTGGCTTTTGCTTTGAGGGGTTGGAGGTTAACCTCTTACACCGCTGGTGGCCTGGGCAACCTGCTGCATACCCCTGGCATGCAGAGGCAGGCTGCTCCTCTGGGGGGTGGGAGCAGGGGGACAGTTTTCTGCTGCTGGAAGAGCTCCCTCCTTTCCACCACAGCAGCTGCTGCTCCTCTTTCCTTCCCTGATATCTTGGTAGCAAGTGTGAGTGCTTGCTGCAAGTAGGAGGAAGACTTTGGCTGTTGGGTTACATTTTCTGCTCAAGCAGCTGGGAAAAGTTCCTGGGAAAATGACAGCAGGCAACACCCAGCCATTGCACCTCGCTGCTCTGTGTTGTCCTCTGCAATCACCCTCTCTTTCTTCCCTTCTCCTTGAAGCGGGGGCAGGATCATCATCCTGGAAGGAAGAGGCTTTGAGCTGGTCCAGAATGTGTCCATGGTGGTCCGTGGCATCGGCAGAGAGCAAACGGTGGGTGTCCCTGCTGGGTATCACCTGGTAACTGGGAGCAGGGCTGCATGCCTGGTGCCTGAAGACGTTTGGGGTGTGAAGCTGAGGCCTTTGCCTGTGCTACAGGTTGAGCTGGGAGCAAGGCTGGGTGGGAGCACTCAGGATGTCGGTTTTTTGATGTGCATGCTCTCTCCGGCTTTCAGAGCTGTAAGGTTCACACCGACACTGTGATCACCTGCCCCTCTCCAGCTGCCTCCAACATCACTGCGGGGAGCAAGCCTGCACCTGTTGATTTCTACCTCAACGGTCGCCTCTATGCAGACGACCGTCCGGCTCTGGATGAGGAGATGTACCCTGAGGAGGCCTTGCACATCAGCAAGTTCAGCCTGGAGTACTATGCTGACCCCCAGTTCTTCACAGCCAAGAAGGAAAAGTGGATCAAGCACCATCCTGGCGAGCCCTTAACTCTGGTTATACATGTAAGAGAGTGGCATTTACAGCTCTGCTCCTTCAGGGGTGTTGCCTGCTCCCCACTGGGAAGCTCTTCAGTCCTAAGTGCCAGCACAGTGACTGTCCACAAACGCAGGAGAAAGAAGGGGGGCGGATGAGGACGGGAGAGGCAGGAGCCGTGCAGGAGCAGGCAGTTCTTGTTCAGCCTGCTGCACCTGCATCAATCTTCGCCAGGAGATGCAGCCTGACCTGAGGTTGCCCTCTGAGGCATGACGACAGAGAGCTGCGTTTGAAGGATGTAATAGCAAGAAGCTAAATAAAATACTGGACGTATGAAAAAGAATGATAATGCACTGGCCTGAAATCAGGCAGGTACTCCAGAAGGTCCTGACAATAGATATTTATTCTTGCAGAAACAGGTCATGCATTCTTCTCTTTTGGCTACTGAATTCAGCTCAGTTAACAAGGAAGTCGGGGTACAGCAATTGAGTGGCTCGGACAATGTGTAATAGTAATTCAAAGGCCATTGTTCACTGCAGGATATCCTCACTGTTTGCAACGTGCTTCAGAAACGCACTCCCCCTTTCTCAGGCTCTGCAGACGCATCCCCTGGCTATCTATCTTCTCTGTTGTACGTCCTTCTCCCCTCCCAGGTGGGCGCTTAGATCCTTATCTGCGGTGCACAGCCAGAGCAGATCAAAAGCAGATTTTTCCAGGTTCCACGAGGGGCTTGCTCATCCCGTGCCCCATGCTGAGTGAGGAATGGGAAACAGGAAAATGGGGAATGGCCTGGTTCTGGGTTTCCTGTGGAGTGCTGGAAAAATGTCCTTGGTGAGGGAGAGTCCCCCCAGGTCTGAAAAACAGCAGGGAATACGGAAAGTAAAGCAGGAAAATCCGTTGCAATTCCGACTGCTACTGTAAAGACTGACATTCTGATTCTATTTCTGTCATTAGAAAGAGCCTGACAGCCTGGGCCTGGAAAGCAATGAGTACCAAGTGAAAATTGGCCTTATCTCGTGTGAGATCCAGATTGTTTCGGACAAAGTCATCCACTGTTCTGTCAATGAGTCACTGAGCACCTCGGAAAGACAGTTACCCGTGACGGTGAGTTCCAGGAGCCTCCAGGCTCTTGAGTGCGTGGGGCAGAAGGGGTCCCTGTTGCAAACCCTGTGTGCGAAGGAGTCAGCTGTGTGCACGGGCAGGACCTCCAGGCACACTCACAGGCAGCCTTGCAGAAAGCTGCACAGACAGAAGGGTGGACAAAGCACACTGCGCTTGCAGCTGTCCCCAGGGCGGCTCGTTGGTGGGATGCAGGCATAGTCAGTGCTAAGGCTGCCCTGAGTCATGGAGAGGGGCTGCCACGCTCTGAATCGTGGGGCACCGGCAGCTGCCTGCTGAGTTAACTGTGCTGTAAGCTGGCGGGGGGGAGATTTTGTCAGTTCTTGTAAGGCACTGTGAAATCCCAGGCATGTGATTTTTTGTCACTTGCAGTAATTTTCTTTCTGACCCTCATGAGATATGTTTGGGGATTTCCATACAGTTTTCAGTCAGCTGGCCTCTTACTGCCAGCAGAAGAGCTACAAGTGGACATGAGAATCCGACCCTTAGAAAGCACCAATAAGCCACTGGAGATGGGTCCCTGTGTGTGACCGGGGAGGGAAGAGGAGTACTCAGGGCTGGAAAGTTTCTTGTTGCTTCCCAGGGGCTGCCATTTTGTTGCTGCGAAGAGTTTGGTGTTCAGGGCTGTTGTTCATCTTTGCCTCTGCAAAATACTTTGTTACTGTCCTTTTTTCCACAGAGGGCTTGACTTACTGCTCTTCTCGCCCTCAGTTTCCCTCATGTCATATGCAGCCCATTGCCATGCAGGGGTGTGACTACGGCTCTTCGTATCTGGAGAGAAAATGCCTCCATCTCCATGGTCTGAGACCCTGCAGCCCCCCTCCCAGTCCGTGTGTTAACAGTGAATGGGTGGGAGCCTGCGGTGTGGGCAGGGAGGAGGAGGAAGGCTGTGAAGGGAGTTGAGGAGGCTGTGGACTTGCGCTGCCCAGAAGAAAGGCAGGAAGATGCACCACCAATTCACTGACAGGGTTGTCCAGTTTACTGGTTACAGTCTGTGGTATATGAAATTCTGTTGCAAACTGGAAACATGGAAATGCGGAAGTAGCAGAATTTCCCAAGTAATTTTAATGGAAATTTTAAATAGGGTAATTTTGGTTTTAGTGAGAACTGAGAAACAGGGAAATCCCTTTGGGGAAGAAAAGGAATTTATGAGTTTCCTAGTCTTGGTTTGACATAAAACATTCAGGGCAATGCCCTAGTAGGTCCCTAGGAAGCAGGAGAATGATACCCAGCCCTAAAGTATGACATAGCTATTAAGAGCGTACCAGCAGGGAGAGTGCAGCTAAATAATCAACTTGTATTCATGTCTGTGTGCACTTATTAAACGTTCATACGTGGTTTGAGTTATCGCCTGCTGGCCATTTCATAGGCAACAGCTGCCTTTCTAACATACTTGTAATAGCTTTGGTAACATGGGGCCAGACTTGCGCAGTGGTCCTTATCTGATCTGCATCAAGGACAGCTATCGGGGGCTGCAGAAGCCTCACCTGCTGATGCAAATTCTCTCTTCTGGCGAGCTGAGATGCCTGTTGTTGTGACTGCCCAGTTTGTTCTTGTTTAGATGGTAGAGCTCACATCTGCAGTGATCAGAGCACAGGAAAACAGCCCTTTAAAACGTGTCCCACTGTTGATCTTAATTCTGACCGTGATTTTGGGTATGCCTGTTCTGTGAAGGTGTTCTCGGGCCAGGTCCATGTTAGCAAGTCGCACAGGGCAGCAGGAGCTGTCTGCAGAGAGAAGGAGACGGTGATGAAGACGGGGCTCCTGAGCTTCCCTGTGTTTTGGGGGTCACTTTCGAGTAGCTCTTTTGGGAGTGCCTTAGGTGAGCTGAAGCTTGATTTTGGTCTAGTTTAGTCCCAAGGGGATCCCATTCACACCCTGGGAGGCTGCAAGACGGCTCCATCCCGTAAGCCGGAGTGCGGTTCCCAGTGACCCCCGAGGCAGCCCCGTGACCCAGGAGTCCTGCCCAGCCCCAACAGCTCTTCCCGGGAGTGGGGTGTCCTCCAGCCCCGGCCCCTTCTGCCCCCCCCCACGTGCTGGTGACAGGAAATGTTGCCATTTAACCTGCAGCCTAATTAATTCCCCTTACAAAAGATTGTATTGAGTAGACCTGTCCAAATAAACAAGAGAAGCTTGCTGAGGCCTTCAAACCCATTTTTGTTCATGATCAAACTGTTTAAACACTGAATTAAACAGCAAGCATGGGATTTCTCCTCTGGAAAATGCAAAAGGTTGAGTTGGTGGGAAAAAAAAAGACTCAAAACGCATCGAGGACTTTGCAGCATTTCAGACCACAGAGGTGGAAATCTTGAGGCTAGGCAGGGTGCTCTGCAGACAGTCAAATGAACCTCCGCAGATGCTTGTGCAGCGCTTGTGGCTCCCTGTCTCCATCCAGCATCTCGGCTCCCAGCCAGCATGCACCGGGTAGGAGACTGAAGCTCTTAGTGTTGGACACTGCCCAGAGGCAGCACCCCAGAAACTGTCAGCGCCAGAGTCTGTCTGAGGGCTGGTACAAGGGCACACTGGGGCTTGGAGCCACAGGAGCCTGGCCATGTGGTCCAGCACTGATGGTCGGAGGTGCTGAAGGTTTTCCTGACCCCGGGTGACGGCAACCGGCGTTGCCCATGGCAGGGCAGTCCTTCCTCTCTTGCCTGTGGAGGGAGCAGTGCAGGGGCAGACCTCCAGGCCTGTCCGGATGCCTTCAGCTGGCAGCATCAGTGCCCTCACCAGCGCTCCTGAGAGCAAGGGCTTGGATTTCCCGGCAGGCATTAAGCTGTGTGCTACGCTGTGTTTGATGCATGGACATGGTGGGAAGGCCCTGCTTGTGGCACTACTTTGGCCCAGCTGCTGAGAGCTGGCTGTAATTTAACCACAGTGTGCAACTTTCCCGGAGATGCTCCGTGACACAGATGTAATCATAAGATTATTCCATCTCTTCCCTACCTCGTTTCAGTTTTTTTGCTCAAGTTTCTCTCGCTTCTCATTCCTTGAGAGAAGTGAAACTCACATTTCCAGAAGTGAAAGACTTGGCATGGTCACGAGTTTGCCTTATCAGATGATGCTGTTGAACCCTTTCATCCTAGGGGCCTAGAGAGCTGTTTATAAACAGCGCTGAGTAAACCTGCCAGCCTGCCTGTGATGTGTGTCGGCCTCTTCCCTTCTGGTGATCAGGATACCTAAGGACTGAGCTCAAGTGGTTTGTGCTTGGTGTCACAAGAAGTACAGGTTGGGAGCAGAGCCAGCACCTCCTGACACCCAGTCCACTGCTTTAGCCCCAAGATCATTACTCGTCTCTGGTCTCATTATTATTTATTTTTATTCCCTTACTTTATTTGTATTTCAAAGACTTTAAAGTTTCTTTACCCTCCTTCTCCTGAGTGGCAGCAGTTCTGCTTTTGGAGGAGAAAGGAGAGTGCAGCTGGGATTCAAAGGTCATTCAGAGGCATAACAAAGTCGGATGATTAGTGGAAGTGGTTTTCTAGTAAAAGTAGTACAGGCAGTACTATATGGTACAGTGAGCTCTCTAAGAAAGGGTTGTCTCATGCTCTGAGGTGGGTTCGGTGTGGCCGTGACGTGGGCTGGAGCCTGCGACTCTGCCACCGAAGCCCTGTGGTGGCCCTAGGATGGGCACCATTGAGGTACCGCAGCCTGCTGTGAGCTGGCCTCAGCTTTCTGCCAGAGCATGCAGGAAGGGAATTGGGCTCTTCTGAGGCACAAAGTCCCTGAGGTCCAGCAGTGAAAGGCATAGCCCAGCCTCCCCACAAAGCCTGGTGGGCTGAGCCAGTGTGGTCAGTACATCCTTGGGCAAAGGTCTGCTGAGCACTGCCCCGTGCTCCCTCCTTGCTCGACCTCTGAGCTGCTTGGCAACGTGCTGCTCAGCTCCTGCTTTTCCTCCCTCCTTCTCCCTCTCTAGATCCAAGTTGGAAAGTTCAACTACACAATTGCGATGCTGCACCTTGGGGGAGGAGAGACTGCAATCATCGTCTCCATTGTCATCTGCAGCATCTTGCTGGTCCTCTCTGTTGTAGGTAAGGGAACAGAACGATGAGTTTCCAGGCTGTGCCAAGGTTTTTTTCTCATTGCAGGTGGAGGGGTGAAGATGACTCACTCACACGTTAGGAAACCTCTGAGTGCTGCAGTTGTGCAGTATCTGAAACTGCTCTGGGTGCAGCAAGTAGCCACTTTTCTTTGTACGGGACCAAGCCAGTACCCAGGATCAAAGCTTCCTGCAGCATGGAGCATTTGCTGGCTGAATCCGTAGTTCAACTCTGTTACTTGAGCCTGTGATACTTATAAACTTACCCTTTTCCCCCAAACACTTAGTAGCTACTATAATACAATACAATAAAGAAGGGTGTAAGAAACTGGTCTTGGACTCTTACTGATTTAAACAGGGCTTACTCACAGGCATGACTGTCCCAGACCATCCCAAAGGTCCACCTAGCCCGAGGTCCTGTCATCAGTAACAGCCAGTGACAGGCACCTGGCAAAGAGTATGAAGAACAGAGCAAGCATCCTTAGCTGCAGATCTGGAGCAGACACAACAGTTTGCTAACCTCACTGGAAGCTGTGCAACACACCTGTGTCCTCTGGCTAGGGTATCTTCTCATCGCATGCCCAGAATGACTGTGCAGCAAGAAACCTGTCAGTTCACAGCAAATGAGGTGTTTCTAATAGGGATTTAATTTATTTTTGATAAAGGTTATAATGCACACTATTTATTAAATGCACCACCCTTCATCAGAAACATATTTCTGGAGGCATGGAAAGACTGTCAGACATGAACACTGTAATACAGGTGGTAATCGTCTTTAAATCTGTATTCATTAATCAGCTGGAATACATTAATATACAGTTAAGCTGAATATAGACAGCCCAGACCTAAATTGAAGATGACAGTTACAGCATGATCATTAAATTCCAGCTGGTTTTACTTATTTACAGATGATCGACAACTGCCTGATCAGATACCAGTCTTGTTGTAGGTGTTAAACCAACACCGAGTTTAGCTTTCTGCACCCGTGTCAGCAGAGGACTGCTCTGATCCCAGCTGCAGCTGCTCCTAAGCCCTAGTCCCAATGGCTTGTTCCCTTCCTCTTTTCCAGCTCTCTTTGTGTTTTGCACAAAGAGCCGCAGAGCAGAGCGCTACTGGCAGAAAACCCTGCTCCAGATGGAGGAGATGGAGTCGCAGATCCGGGAGGAAATCCGCAAAGGTAAGTCGCTGTGCTGGGCATCAAGGAGGAGCCAGGACTAGGAGGGAGATGCTGGAATAGCAGGGTTGAAGCCGTTCATCTTCTACTCTGTAGAAGTTTATAGAATTATTTATAGGAGAATTTCTGTCATCACCTTTGAGCTTCGGCAGGGTTTGTGAATGAGGCTCAGTGGCTAGAAGTGCGGCTCTGCTACTGTCTTGCTGCCTGACTTGCTGCCTGACTTGCTGCCTGACTTGGGCGAGCCACTGATCTTCAGTGCCACTGGTTTCCCTGTCTCGGGGTTAATGGCCCTTGGCCATGTCAGAGGGTTGCGTGAAGGCCACACTAATCTTTAGTGTGCTTTAGGATTGGGTGCAACAAAAATTGCAGCACACTCCTGCTAGAGCAATGGGAGAAGCAATCCAAGCGTCTGCATCTGCCGTCCCCGTGGTACGTGACTCTGCAGCATAGGCTGAGGTCCTCCTCCTGCAGAACGAGACTGGGGGCTGCTCTCCTGGAGGCAGGGGAAATGTTCTCTCTGCCAGTGCTGCGGGACGTGATGTATAGTGCTGATGGTTACACCCTGATGGTAATCTGCTGCTCTTCGAGAAACCCTGCTTCAGCCCACTTGAGGGAAAGGCTCGAGGAGGCAGAGATGAGACATGCCATGTTTTTCAGTGCCAGCCTGCTTACTGTCTCAGCTGGTAGAGTATCGGAGCTTTTACCATCTGTGGGTCTCTTTGTGTAAGGTTTTGCGGAACTGCAGACAGACATGACAGACCTGACCAAGGAGTTAAACCGCAGCCAGGGGATCCCATTCCTGGAGTACAAGCACTTTGTCACCCGGACGTTCTTCCCCAAAGTAAGGCAATACCGCGTTTCATGGGCATCTAATCGCTCCCAGTTCCTTCCTAACCAGATCAGGGCTCTGCTTTCCCTCTGCTAAAGGGTTATTACAGTGTAACAAAATCATTCCACTGTTATATGTTTAGTTGTCACATATTTCAGCCTCAATTATCGTCAAAAGTGGAGCCGCAGCTCCTGGGGTGTGAAGTAAGGTCGGGCTTGCTTGCACACAATAGGAGCCCGGCGGCAGCACCATCCTGGGAGTTGCTCTGGCTCGCCCGTTTGATGCCGTTGGACACCCTCTTCTGAAAGCGCTCTTTCACATGAGCAGAAAGTGCTGGGGACTCCCCCTTCTCCCCAGGGGCTCCAATGTCACCCCACTCTGTTTGGCAGGGGCTGAGGCTGAAGGGTGGCTGAAGGGCATATCTGCCATCGGCATTCAGGGAGAGGAGGCTTTTTGTTCCATGCAGCGTGCCACTGAGCATCCCCAGCTGCTCTGTCGGTCCTCAGGAGCTTGTTAGATGTCTCTGTCTCCCCCTTTCTCTCCTCTCTGTCAAAGGCTGGGCACGTGGTGCTCCCAGTAAGACACCCCTTGAGCGCCCAGTCCCAGTCTGTCTACCCAGAGTCCTCCTCCAGGGCCGCACCAGACACGCCGGTGCCGTAATTCCCGTCACCAGCTGCTCCGCTGTGTCGCTGTGCGCCCTTAACAGCAGCTGTATTTCACCCCTGAGGCAGTTGCATTTCAGTGGTGAGGAGTGAGATGATGATTTATGACTGCAGAGTGTTTCATTAGTAGTTATTACTCAGGTTTTTAAGTTATCCAATCTCTATGTATCTGCACACTAGAGTCTTTAAGAATCAGGCTGCTATATGAATATTAGAGATTTAAACATTTTTCCCATCTGTTTCAAAAGTTACATATGTTAAAACACCCAGTACTCCTCTATTTTGACTTAGTCTTCTATAATGCTTTCTCTTCTGGGATTTTTCTAGCTGTCAAATTAGTCTATTTGCAGTCTCCCTACCCTAACAGCCTCGTGTCTGCGCAGACATCTGCCTCCCCCCATTCTTGTGGTGTTTGCTCATTCGAGAGACTCTTGCAAAGTGTTTAAAGGCTTCGTAAACCATACCAATGCATTTCTTCATAATGGGTGGTCTTCAGTTCCGATGACATGTCTCTCCATCTTGTTCTCTTGCGGTGCACGGCAAACGAGGAGGTCCCCAGCCGGGTGCAGCCACCCTCCCCTAACACTGTGCTTGGTTGCAGTGTTCCTCGCTCTATGAGGAGTGCTACATCCTCCCGTCCCAGCAGCTCAGCTCCCAGGTGGGCTCCCAGGTCCAAGAAACCCATCCTCTCCTGGTGGGGGAATGGAAAGTGAGTAACACTTTAGTAGCACTAACAAAACAAATGCTCTTGAGTGGTTGCTAACCATACTTGTGTGTGTTGACAATGCCATGCGTTTTCTTGTGGTGCGTGGGGGATGCTTGATCACTCAAAACAATTAACACATACCAGCATCGGATCAGCTTTGGCTGATCGGAGAAGGCAGACCTGTGGATCTGCTGTCACACGAAGGAGCTCTGTCCCGAGATTGTCCCCGGCTCTGGTTTGCACTTGCTCCAGTTTGCCAACGTCCATCTCGTAGCAGGGAGCCCAAAACTGGCCACGTACTCCAGGTAGCCTCACAAGTGGTTAACAGAGAGGAATGGCCACTGCCACTGCCCCGCTGGCTGAGCTGCTTCTGATACAGCCCTGGATGCAGTCATGCCCTTGCCAGGAAAGCATGCTGCTGACTTGTGTCAAGCAGAGGGAGTAAGGGTTCTTCAGCTCAGTACCTCTGCGTTCAGCAGGGACATTCTTGCAGTCAGGAAGGATAAAAGCTGGAGGAAAACAGCAAGCAGGGTTTTTCTCACTCTGCTTTCTAAATTTTTCTTTAGATTCCTGAAAACTGCAGACCCAATATGGAAGAAGGAATCTCGCTGTTCTCCACCTTACTCAACAACAAGCACTTTCTCATTGTGTTTGTCCATGCTCTCGAGCAACAGAAGGACTTTGCTGTTAGAGACAGGTATGAGCTTCAGAACCAAAGACCTGGCAGCTGGAGGAGACTGATTTATTCCTAACCTGTAAGCAATCCAGCCCATGTCTGGAGCCGTGCATTTCAGTTGAAGGTTGAGTTACACTTGCCTCCCACTTTTCTATTAGAAACGGACGGCCATAAACCTCTGTTATCCTGAAGAGCACCAAAAGGTACAATGAGTGACTCACTCGTGAGTGTTTGTATCCCTGAACACTAGATTTACCAGTAAGAGGGTGTGATCTGACCCAAGGTCCTGCAGCACTGAAAGAGGATTTGAAGTTTTAACACCGTTGAGAAGGCTCATGAAAATTGTCTGAAATACTGCCTTTGTGTTTTGGAGTTTTTTTATGCCAGTTGGCAGTTCAGTCTTGTTGGATTGGTGCTTGAGTCATCACAATTCTGTGTTTCAGATGTAACCTGGCCTCTCTGCTTACTATTGCATTGCATGGGAAACTGGAGTATTACACCAGCATCATGAAGGACCTCTTGGTGGATCTAATAGATGCTTCAGCTTCCAAAAACCCCAAGCTGATGCTGAGGAGAACGGAATCCGTGGTGGAGAAGATGCTCACCAACTGGATGTCCATCTGCATGTACAGCTATCTCAGAGTAAGAGAACCAGATCACTGCTGTTGTGGGTGCGAGTTCAGCACTGTGTGCAGCGGTAATGAGGGATGCGTGGGACAGCTGAGGACCTAAATACCTGCCAGCATTGCCACTTGAACGGTCACTAACGGTTGACAAACTCCAGTATATTGAAAGGTTCGAGTGTGGAAAAGCAACCTTAAGTTCAGTTGCTTCTCCACTTCTGCCTGGGGATTTGGTGAGATCAGACTTCACGGCAGGCCTTTCCTAAGGCCAGAGCACAAACTAACGTTTTCACCATGCTTGAGAAGAGAGCCATAGGGGAGTTAAAAAACAATCAGAACGGCTTGAGGTTTTGGAAACCGTTCCAGTTATTTGTTGTTTTCTCTGACCAGCTCGTGCAGCCGTACTGATGGTTGCCAGCCAGTTCAGTGTTGTCTGTCTTGAGTGTGAGAGCCCCAGCTGTCAGGAGGGATGGTGGTGCTGGGGCAGGGGGCTGCTCCATGTTGATGCCCATTGGTATGTGGGGCTTCTCGCATGGGAGGCATCCTCGTGGTTCCACACTGGCCAGACAGATCTTAGCAGGAGAAGTGGGATGTCTGTCCCAGAAGCCTGACTGTCTTCCGAGGGTAACGAAAAGGAATATATTTGGCATCTCAGAGCACATCAGCAGTCCATCTGCTCGCTGCTTTATCTCCAACGTTTGCCAGTTCTGGTTGGAATTTCCCAGAAGAATTGAGCAATAACTTAATTGATTCCATGGCAGTTAATTGGAGGACACCCCATTATACCCACAGGGGAGAGCCTTGAAAAAGCCTTTGAAAAATCTCTTTTCCCAAAGTGTTTGCTATAGCCACAGAAGCAATGCTGTATTGTCCCCATACATATCATAATGTCTTCTGATCCCAGCTGATGATCACTTTTTGTCCTAAAGCCTGTGGTTTTGTAGTTCATAATCTTTCATTTTAGCTCGCATAATTAGCCAGTATAATGAAAGAAAAGTTACAGGAGCGAATGAGGATGGCTGTGTCGATGCAGCACGACTATCCAGCCTGTAAGAGCAGAAAACAGTGAATTAGTGAATTTATTTAATCTTCAGTTTTTGTGCCTGTAGTTAAACCATTGGAGAAAAAAAGTGCTGATCTCTCCTTTCAGAGAGTGGAGACCACATGTGAGGCATCTGATCCAACTCCAGTTTGTGCTAAAAATGGACATTGTGCAAGAAGGCTTTTTCGGGGGGGCAGGGGGGGAAGAGGAAAGAAAGTCGAGTCTTAATCACGCGGGCCTGAAGTCTTGGGAATGTTACATAGCTAATTAATGGTAAGGAGCTCCCGAGTGCCGGCACGCTGCCCTTCCCTGGGGCGCCTGGTAGGGAGGTGCCCATCACTGCAGGCTTGTCCAGGGTCTGTGGCAGGGCCGGTGGCCGTCCTGTGGCTGGGGCGGTGCAGACCATGCTGGTGCGAGCTGTGGGCTGGCTTTCCCTTGCCGTGCAGCCCTGGCCTGCCCCACGGAGGGAGGAGGAAGGACAGGGTACAGATGGGAGCGGGTCTGCAGGGGGTGGTGGCCCTTCGCAGAGCTGACAGGCCACCAGCTGAACCTGCATTTCCATCCGCCTGTGGATGGGTCCTCAGCAGGGGCTAATGTTGCACACTGGGTTTGCAGTCCCCTCCTTGCTTCACATGCTCAGCCTGAAGCCATAGCAGTGAAGACCATCGTGGCACCTTCTACCGCAGCCTATTTCCCATTTCTGAAAAGCAAACGGTTTCCATACTAAAGTGCAATAAAGAGATGATTTCCAAGAGACTTTCACATCACATGTGCTCCACAGTGAGGGTAGGGGACCTGATCAGAGGAGAAACCATGCTGCCTGCTGAAATACAGAGGAGGAAGAGAATTGATCAGACAGAAATGTCCAGAGAGGCCCTTTGACTGTCCCAGGCGGACACGAGCTCAGCTGTGCAAAGGGACGGGGGGTCTCAGTCCGGATCGGCAGAGCTGGGACCTTCCCCACTGCACAAATGAGCATGGAGCCACTGCAGTCAGACAGACGGCACCTCCTTACACACAGGCTGGTTTCAACTCAGGGCTGTGATTTAAAAACTAGCGATAGTCAAACGCCTCCCATGTGCCTTGCGTTCCTCTGGATCAAACTCCGTTGCCTTCAGAGCGGCATTTCTTGGTTAAAAAAAAAGGCTGCTCGCCTGCCTGTAGCACTGGTCTGTCAGACGTGTGACGATGGGTCTGGTTTTCATTCCTGAATTATCCCCATTAATCACACTGTCTATTCAAAACAGCTGCTGCAAAGGTCCCTGCCGTTGTGCAGTGGAAAAATTCCAAGTGCTTGTATTTTCCCTTGTAAGTCAAAGCTACATGCTCAAAACATTTGTTTCGTATTAATGCTCTGCCTAACAGTCCGTCCATTTGTGTTTTGGGGGAAAATGATTTGAAGGAGCTGTCTTCAACTGGGAAGGAGTTGCAGGCCACAGTCACTAGTGGTCTGAACATGTGGAGGGCACCTGAAGGCAATGGAGTCACCACTCTGACAGGGGGAGGTTTGACTTGGTGCATGCAGGAGAGATGATGAAGAACTAGCAGGAGGCTTGCTGCTTGGGACTGGATTCAGAGGAAACTTGCAGCATTTGCACAATCAGTGCAGACCTCTGTTTCTGCCAAACTGAGTGAGAATCGTAGATAAAATGGTCCATGTCTCTACTTTCTGCTATAGCTTTGGTGGAAAATGCTGGGAAAAAGGCCTTCCCCATGAGATATCTTGGTACCATTGTGCCTGGCTCCTAACAGGATCAGGGGACTGGGAGTTAAAGGAAAATTAAGGTCCTGGAATTCAGCTTTTAGGTCTGGGTCCAAGCTTCCCAAAGTTTTGCATGTGGGCTGGAGCTGAGGTTTGATTCTTCACAGAATGCAAATAGATAATCATCCCAAAATTAGCAGGTACTTGGGATAAGCAGCTGTTTTCTGTGCTTTTCCCACCCCAGCCTCACCAAGACGTTTTGGAAAGGCTGTAACGTGTTCCTGGGAGGACACCTCTAATGACTTGTCAGCCTTGTTAATAAGACAGCAACATGTGAATCCAGTCTGTGCTCTAAACTGTTTTTTTTCCCCCAAGCATATAAAAACCAAGCCCTCCCACGCTCATCGTGCATGAAACAGTTCAAGTAATGCCAGCCTGAACTGTGCTTTCCATTACTGCAAAGTTATTTCGGTGCCCTGGGTAGCTTTAAGAGCCCATAACAGTTCAGCCAAAAATGAAAATGAAGTCTCATTAAAATACATTCACAATAGGAGGAAAAAAGGCCGCTGTTTTCTGTGCTTTTCCCACCCCAGCCTCACCAAGACGTTTTGGAAAGGCTGTAACGTGTTCCTGGGAGGACATCTCTAAACACTTGTCAGCCTTGTTAATAAGACAGCAACATGTGAATCCAGTCTGTGCTAAACTGTTTTTTTTCCCCCAAGCATATAAAAACCAAGCCCTCCCACGCTCATCGTGCATGAAACAGTTCAAGTAATGCCAGCCTGAACTGTGCTTTCCATTACTGCAAAGTTATTTCGGTGCCCTGGGTAGCTTTAAGAGCCCATAACAGTTCAGCCAAAAATGAAAATGAAGTCTCATTAAAATACATTCACAATAGGAGGAAAAAAGGCCCCAGACTGTGTTTTTTTAAGTATTTTTTTGTCCTGAATCAGCACTGATCTCTTCTAGTTAAACTTCCTTTCTCCCAACTAGCCAAGTCCAAAGACAGTTTTGATTTGTTTCCAGATGAGTTTTCTGAACAATGCTTGAGGTTTCCAAGTTTGCCATTTTATCTCTAGTCCCTGCCTGCCAGCCCTTCTTTCCCCTCTTTGAAATTTGCTGTCTGATTAGCACTTTTGCAGATTTCCATAACATCCCACAGTTCCTGAGCCTGAAAGCCAAAAAGCCAAACAGAAATAGGATCTCGCCGGCGGAGCGGTGTCGTTATTTCCCGTGTGGCCAATCCTGGGGCTGATCCTGCTCATGCATGCTGCGGGGAGTCCAAAACGCCCGCTCCTCCGCTTCCCCAGGCTGCCCTTTCCAGTGCAGCTTTATGTGTGCGGGAAGGTGCCACACAGTCAGCCCCGACCCATGCAGCCTGTGCTGGTTTCAAGCCATAAAGAGGTCCTATATCAGCAGGAGTCACACTTTTTTGTTTTTGGAGGCAGCCACGTAGCCGTCGGCAGCCCCCTCATGTCTCTCTGTGGCCGGAGCCACGGCCAGGGCCAGAGCTTCCCATGGGGGGACAGGGCAGGGTCCAAAACCCGGTGCTGAATTTAGCCTTGGGTTTGTCCCCGCTGTGTGCTCATGCACATGCAACGTAAACGGAGTTCCTGTTCGTAGCAGGGCCATCATCAGGATTTGTCAGCACTTGTGTAGGGTCAGCTTGGCAGCGCTCCACAGTTCACGTCACTTTATGGGGAAAGCAGGTACTGCAGCCTGGGGATGTCTTGGTGTCAGTGTCATCCCCTTGCCTCTTATCTCACACTCCCGCCTTCGTCTCAGAAACTAACTCTTCTTCATGTCTTCTGATGCTTTCTCCACTTCGTTCACAATCCTCAACTTCTCTGCATCCCACGACTTCACATCTTTCTCTGCTTTCTGGAAGCCGTGCCTTCCTCCATTCCAGCACCGGCAGCTCTGCTGCTGAGCCCGTTTTATGCTGCGTGCTCAGAAGGAGCATTGCAGGGAGTCATTAAACCCCAGCAGAAGGCCCAAGGAGCTTCCCTGTGTTCATAAAAAAAGTTGCCCTCAGAAAATAAAGTGGGTGCACCATTGGCACAGATGGTGTGTGCCCACGTACAGCCCTGCTGTAGCGTCTTATCATCAACTGCAATGAATGCAGCCAAATCAAAACTGACGTCAAACTAATTGCTTTAGCAATTATAAGGCAATTAGAATAAAAGAATCACCAAGTCTTAATTAAGAAGCAGAGTGAACAGGATTTAGCAGCTCCTAGCTGAGAAATATCAAAACCATTTGATATCTGTTGTCTTGAGTAGGATTTCAGATGGCAGGAATGTTTGTGTGGGGTGTGTGTGATGCTCAGAAAGTACATAAATGTGCAATAATTTGCACTTGCCTCATTGGAAGGAAATTGCACATGAACATTAGGGAGAATGGGATGTACTCCAGTACTGAAAAGTTTCTTAAGAAAATAGCTTATGTTTTACTTGCACATCAGCGTAGCAGACAGAAGTGGATCAGAAATCTGGCATTAAACCATGTAGCTGAACCGCATCACAAATAGCTGGTCCCTGTTATGTTTTTTGTTTTCATTGCAGCAGTGTCACAATTCACCTCCCTCCCGTAAGACGAAGTTTGATGAATGTAAGGAGTTAAATGGTGTGTTTGCTTGCTGTCGCATGGGAACAGCTTGTTGACCCTGATCCTTTCTGTTTTGCTGTGATGAGGGCTGTGCTGTGGTATGAGAAGTATGAACACTAGTTCCCAGAGCCACAGGCACACGCAGTGGGCTCACTTCCATGGATTTCAATGGCAAACCAGGCAGTGCAAAGAGGGGTTCAGCTGATACCTTCATGAGAAAGCTGGGTGCCCAAATATCTCTGCAGACCTGGATTTTTGTGCACATCAGCCCTCTCCTTGTCCTGCTGAGTGCAGTACATTGTACAGTATGTGCTCTGTCAGATTGCAAGAAACATCTCTGTACTGGAGTATGCCAGATTCTTCCTGAAGTTCATGTGTAATTTCACATGTAAATTAATGCACATTTGTATTTTGCTGAGCATCGTGCATGCACGTACCCACTCAGCACAGCTACACATATGCCCCTACCTTCTGAGCAGTACCCGAGCACTCTGTCCGTGAGACAGCAAATGCTGGCACAGCCTGTTGGTGGCAATCCACAGCCCTACAGTACTTGCTGTAGAAGTTGGATGGCGCATGTTGGTGCTGACAATCACAGTTCACCCTCCCCAGAAATTGCCTGTGGCTGTTGTCGGTTGTTATGTCCTCTTTTTCGTCTGCGCTGTCACATTGCCACAAGTCTGAAAACTCCTGAGCAGCCTCAAGGAGATGCTGGTGGGCGATGGCACTGAGCACCTGCCAGGGGTTCGCAGCACCTGGCATGGACCAATCCTGCTTCCAGGTGCGCGGAGGCACACCAGGGTTTTCGCTTGCCTTCAGTGTCCATGCAGAGCCAGTCCCCCACACTGCTGGAAGGAATTACTGCCACCAGGTCCAGTTTGCTTACTTGGTCTTCTTTCCTTCCCCCAGGAGACCGTCGGAGAGCCCTTCTTTCTGTTGATCTGTGCGATCAAACAGCAAATTAACAAAGGGTCCATCGATGCCATCACGGGGAAAGCCAGGTACACCCTCAATGAGGAGTGGCTCCTGAGGGAGAACATCGAGGCAAAGCCGAGGGTGAGTACCTACACCCCGGGTGTCTGACAGACATGTACCTCGGCGGGGTGGTTGTGCAAGTGGCTGATTTGGTACCCGTGCAGGTGCAATAACCACGTAAATTATACACCTGCACAGGCACCTTGCCGCTGCCTAAGCACACGACTACAGAACAAGGCTCGTAATGACTGTTTGTTTTCTTGTCCATCCCTTGGTGGGTCACCTAAGTACCTCAGATTAGGGGTGGAGGGAGGTAAGAAAATTTGTTCTGTCATATTCAGAGAGTTAAAGCAACAGGTTTACCATTCCCGGCAAAAGAGCATCTTCACAAGCAGTGGGAAGGTGCTGGCTGCAAACCTGAGTCCCGGGGTGAGGGCTTTGCCCAGGCTGTTACAGGAGTGGTGCTGAAAAGCGGTTCTGCAAAATGCCTCCTGTGGGAACAGGGCAGATGAGGGCTGTGCGTGTGAAGGGCTCGGTTCCCTCCAGTGCCTGACACAGAATTCAGCAGACGCCTTTCCAGAGCCTGGGTCAAATCCTGCTTTCAATTACCTGGCATAAATCTGGAGCAGCTTCACTGAATTCAGTGGGTTACCCCAGATGTGCATCACCGTAACTCAGAGCAGGTTCAAGCTCCACATCCTCTGCAGATTCCTGTTACCAACTGACCTGTAAATTTACAGTGCAGACCAAGAGGGGTTAGCAGCAGGGCGCAAAGTATTAGCTTTCTCGGCAGAAATGGTAACTTCATAAGTCTGAGCAGGGGAAGCGTGGCTGCTTCCTACTTCGTTTGCAAGAAGAGAAACAAAAGTGAACAGGGTATGTTGGAGGAAGGAGAGCAATGCAGGGTTAGTGCTAACTCACAGGCAATCCCCCACGTTGCTGGTAACTGAACCTCTGCTTTAAAAAACACCTGCACAGTATACAATGTGAAAAAACATCTTCATTTAATGCTGTGGAAAAAATTGGACTTCATCTGTGCATTCACATTGTTCTCATAGTCAAGGATGCTAACTCTGTATTCTGATACTTAAAAGCAGTGTTTGCAAAGGAACCTCTAGGCTGTGAATATCCCAGCCGTAAATCTCACGTGTACCAGGTGTCCGTCTAAGAGGCAACTGTGCTTATGCACAGGCAATGCTCCTGGCATCTGCAGCTTCCTGCCCTGGGCTTGCCAGTCAGGCAGTGAGATGGCTTCAGGGTTGCATCCACCACTAAATGAAGGTGCAGTGTTGCCCTCAGGTTCGGGCACACCAAGGAGTGGAGGACTCAAGCAGAGGCAGAGCTGAGGCTGTCCCAGAGCAAAGCCCCCGGGCAGGAGGAAGACATCATGCTTGTAGCGTTTGGGTCTCCACAGCTTGCGAAAGAAGGAGGCACCTGGACTCTGCCTCTCCTCGCTTGACTGGTGTGGCAGCAGCTCCCAAAAGAGGAGTGGGTTTTTTTATAGGAAGAGTCACTCTAATTGCCCTGCAGCTTTCTGCTGTGACTGGAGCAGTATCTGGGCATCTCTGAGGTCTGAGCTGGTGTTGGTGGCAGCCTGCAGCCCCTTGCAGCTGCTTGTCCCGCTGTTCAGTACATTCTCAAGCAGGTTATTGGGTGGTGCTGGTGGTGGACTCCAGTGTTGCAGCAGACCCAGCCTGAGGCGTGCTTAAAGCTTATTTAAACAAAGGAGCTCGGCCCATTGCGTCAGGGAGAGGCTGAGCAATGAGCCTTGGCAGTCCCATTTGTCACCAGTCGGAGCCAAGAAGCTGAGGACATGACTGGTTACGGGGGCTGACCTTTCCTCCCACCCCTGAGGTGGTCTCTGCATGTCAGGGCTAAGGCCCATTAGCAAGGCAGCCGTGAAGGGAGGTTGCAGTGTTGTTCCCTGTGTCCTCCTGGCTCCATCAACAAACAGGGGCCTTCAGACTCCAGGGGCTATAAATCAGCGCCCTTCACTAGTGGTAAAGCCTAGATAACTGCCTTTGTTCAGCCTGATTTCCAGCAGTGCGGGGCCCAGAGCGCACCAGCGAGAGCTGTGCAGGCGCAGCAGCCTCCATGCATCATTGGAGCCAGCAGAGCTGGGCAGATCACCCCTAACCCAGCCTCTGCCCGCAGAACCTCAACGTCTCCTTCCAAGGCTGTGGGATGGACTCCCTGAGCGTCAGGGCCATGGACACAGACACACTCAGCCAAGTGAAGGAGAAGATTCTGGAGGCCTTCTGCAAGAACGTCCCCTACTCCCAGTGGCCAAGGGTGGAAGATGTCGACCTCGGTAAGGACCAGATGCATTGGACCACCCATTCCTTAAAACTAGATGAAGCACCTGATGTTGCATGGTAGCTCTTGGTGTCTTATCAGAGGGCAATGGGTGAAGCAGCATTGACAAGAGGGCAGACATCAAGGCAGCCTTTTCCTGAGGATGGTCTTCAGGAATGAGTGATGGGACCAGATCCTGGTGGGCAGGAGGGAGCCATGTAACTGGAAAGAAGCTTTAGGAAAGCCCAAGTTGAGCAGAGGGATGTTTGGACTTGCACCCTTTAAAGCCTATAGTCTTAACCCCAGAACAGGTACCCTCTAAAACAGTGCTGAGCCTGCACATGCCTCGTTAATACATGTCTCTCCATAAGCAGCTATAATTGAGCCCATGGACTCCTGTCCTGCCATAGATTCAGATCTGCCATTTATCTACCCAGTGGCCAACTTCTTATCCCAAAATTTAAGAAGGATCCAAGCCCCGTGCTGGCAAGAGAAGCCCATGTTGTCTGTGGTGCCTCCGTGCCATGCAGCGGGCCATGGAGACACACCCTACCTGGCAGCAGTCGCAAGGTGTGATGTTCAATGTAGTCAGTGCCAGAGCGAGTCTCCGTAGAAGAATGCCCTGGGCTGGAGCAGTGATGGGCCCCCACTCCTTTCAGCTGGCACATGTGGCATGTCCCCCGGTCACAGATACATGACCAGCTCTGCCCTGTGGGGAGCTGCCACCAACCTTCGGTGGCCACGTGCAGGCCAACACAGCATCTCACCTGCCTGGTGCTCCACAAGGCAGGTCCCACATGACCCTCAGGGGCAAGAGCGGGAGAGGGGAAGGGGGAGATGTGCTCCTCCCTGTCTCTCCGAGCAGAGCCTTTGTCACCTCTCCCAGCTCCATCCAAGTCTGCTCTAGTCTGGAAATCCCCACTCCAGGGGCTAACCCTGGAGGCCATTGCTAAACATCTGCTCTGGTTTCACAGAGCCCCGGAGGCCTTGGCAGCAGGGCTGTGCAGCCCCCCAGCGCTGCGTGGCTGGTCCCTGGACCCCCAGACCCTGCTGCACGTGCCTCCTTTGGGCTGGTGTCTCACTTCTCCCTTCTCTGTGTTCAGAGTGGTTTGCCACCAGCACTGACAGCTACATCCTCCGGGACCTTGATGACACCTCGGTGGTGGAGGATGGCAGGAAGAAACTCAACACATTAGCACACTACAAGGTAAACCTGCTAGTGCTGCAGGAAAGCTTTGCTTCCTTGGAGCCTGCCTGGCCTCAGGGGCGAGCTGCAGTTCCCCCTCCAAAAACAGGATTATCAGGAACAAGCAGGGAGGTTGCCATAGCTCCGTGAGAGCTTCCGGGGAATAGACATCTGCCCTGGCGAGAAGCTTGTTAATATTGCAACACACTGAAACTAATTAAACACTCGTCATGCAAAACAAGTTATTACTGACAACAGAAAGAGGAGGAAAAAAAGCTCCTATTCCCAACGGCCACCAGCTTGGCTGATTAGTATCACTCTGCTCTTGATCCGTGCTCCTGCTGAAATCACTGGCACAATTGTCACTGCCTGCCCTGAGAGCAGGGGCTAGGGATGCCATGAAGGAGTGGAGGCCAAAAGTGTGGGGAAATGTGGCAAAACAAATTGTTTTCTTGACCATTTTACCTTTTAAAATAAAATGAAACCAGAAATTCTTACATGATTTCCATATTCCCTGCTATGCCCGGGAGCATAATCCTCACTGGTCTGTAACACTTCATGGAAAATCAAAAACGGAGCTGAGTACTTATTAATATTACTATTTGTGTAACAGCCATGCTGTGGAGCCCCATTACTGGCACGGTGCCCTGCTGCACTGAGAGACGGAGCTGCAGCACAGAGATGTGGTACCTGCCCCACAGGTCCAGGCTGCAGCTGGGTTCCTTCTCCCCTCCTGGGCAAAGGCAAAACAGCACCTGCACAGCGTAACACTCTTTGCTCTTCAAATTACCTGGTGTCGACATCCAAAAATGTATCGTCTTGGATACATGTATTTGCCTGATTCCTGTCAGATTTGCATTTAAAAAACCCTTTCCATGTAGGGCAGTGCTGTTACTGCCCGTTTCCAAGCCGGGAAGCAGGGGCAGGGCAGGCGCGGAGGACGTTCATGGCAGAGCAGTGATTGCACCCGTGTCTCCCAGCTCCCGGGATCTCCCCGGGGCTGTCCCCAGCTCCGTGGGAGGCACCATTAAGGCCCCCTGTCATCAACATCTGCTCTTCCCTTCCTCTGCAGATCCCCGAAGGCGCATCATTGGCCATGAGTTTGTCGGACAAGAAAGACACCACGCTGAGCAGAGGTAATGTCTCACCTCTCTTCCCCTGTTGCTGGTGACTGGGCAGAAACACTTGTGTTTTTAGAGGGGTGTCTCTGGCCAGGGGTGCTGAGAGCCATCTACCAGCCCCCTTGCCTGGATGTTGAGGTGTGGTGTTAGCCTGTGCAGGGCTGGGTCTGGTGTTGCCAACACTCGTAGAGCACCCTTTTGCAGTGGCATGTTGGGCAGAGCTGGGCGTCGGTCGGGCCAGCTTTGTGCCTGGGAAGACACTGAGCATGGTCTGGGACTGCCACCGCCAAGCAAGCTGGCCAGCCAGCAGCCCAGGGCGTGCTCAGGAAGCCCTCTGGGTGCTGCAGGGTCGCCACTGCTCTTCTGCAAACCCCCTTCGCCCATGCTGTGGCGTATGTTTGGGGCAGAGATAGCTGTGGAGTGGCAGGAGATGTACCTCCCTCCTTCCCGCAGGGCTCCCCCTTGCTATGGCTGAGCAACGCACCCGTGCTCCCTGCGGGGACCAAAGGTCTGAGTCCTGCCATGCAGGTAGCGGCAGTGCAACCATCCCAGGTGGGACTGATGGCGAGACAGACATGCGGAGTGGAGACACTTAGCACTGTAATGGCTGCCATGTGTGGTGGCATTGCCTGAACCACAGCCAGCACCCGGGGGGGAAGAGGGATGCGGGTAGCTGGGAGCAGGGCTTCTGCAGGGCGTGGGCAGAGCAGGCACGCTGGCCCGCAGGTGGCCAGGATTGTAATAGCCTCAGCACGAGGACATCCATGTCAGTGCTGCTGAATAGCCCCGCCTGTCACTGCCCATCCGTGCAAGGCTGCTGCTGGGCTGTGCGCTGCCCCTTCCCCTTCGCAGCAAATGCTCCCCACCAGGCGCAGGCAGGGGAGCTCCAGACGGACTCGGGGGACGGGCAGCAGGTCGAAGCTGCAGTGGCCACTGGAGAGGTCATAGATCCCCGAGTCTGGGACTGATCCTGGAGAGTGGGCAGCTTCCACACCCCTTCTAACTTTAAGGCTTGCCTGTGTCACTTGCAAAAAAGTGGGGTTTTGTGCCCACTTTTCCTTCTGTAGGAGAAATGAAGGAGGTCTGGGAAGTATAGATTGCTGATATATACACTCATGACACGCAGGAGATGCAAGTGTCATGCTTGTGGTTTTGCTTTAAAAATGTGTTATCCAGTATCCTGCTCTCTCCACTTGCTGGGGTGCTTAGTGCTTTCCCAGCCCTTAAGCTAGAGGTGTTTGCACCTTTCATCTCACATCTTTATTAGGGATTTGCAATCAGTGCTAAGAAAGTGAAAAAAAAGAAGGATCTAAAACCACTTGATTGGAAAAGCCCTTTCCCTCCCAGTTACACATGTTCAGTTTCTTGCCGGCGTATTTCAAGGTTTCAGGCTGTGCAGAGAGTCAAAACAGACCAAGGGAGACAAAAATTCACATTGAACAAGGAGTTTCAAACCCTGTCTCCAGGCTGCTCACACTGAGCCTGTCTCTGCAGTGGGAGTCCTTTTGCCTGCTGGAGCGAGGAGCTGCTCGGGGCTGCGGCTGCCCCAGTAATGAGGCTGGGAGATGGCCCAGGGCGCGTGGGGCTACGGGGCATTGCGGGGCATCACAGGGCATTGCAGAGCATCATGATGCAAGAGTGCCCTTGTGCTGATCCTGCTCTTGCACCCTCTTGGGTCCCTCTTAAAAGACCCCGTGGGAGACTTTGAGTCCTCCTTAAAGTACTTCTTGAGGTACTCGCCATGCACCCCAGAAGGCGATAAACGCCACCATCACAAAAATGCTGAGGTTGCTTGGGGTGGGAACGCCAGCTCGGTGTTGGGATTCTTGGGGAAAGCGAAACGCCTCCTGACGTGGAGGGCATCTGCAGAGGCGGGTTTCGGTTTGGGTCCCCTGGCTGAGCTGCTGTGTCTCTCTCTCTCTTGTGCTTCACAGTGAAGGATTTGGACACTGAAAAGTACTTCCACTTGGTAAGTACCCTGCTCCCAGCTGTGGAGGCTGGTGGCTGCGTGGCGGGGGGCCAGGGGCCACTCTCCCCTCCAGCCCTCCCAGGGGAGTGCTGCTGGGGAGCAGAGCCATCGCTCCAGGATGCCTGCTCTGCAGCGCGGCACCAGCATGCCAGGGGATGGGTCACAGCGGCAGCTCCGCTCCCCCAGACCCCTCCTGCCGCCCTGACAGTGAGGATGCTGGCAGGGTGCAGGCGGGCAGCATGGCTCAGCCCAGGCAGCCAGAGGGGCGCTGGAGGTAGGGCTCCTTGCAGCAGTGGAGGGGTGCCCGTCTAATCTCCTGCATATTTCGACATATTTCACCTTTATGACGGCTGCCCATTAGCAAACAGTGGAAGCTGTTGCTTTCATCTGTGCAAATGGGTACTGAACAGGCCGTTTCGTCTCCAGCAGCAGCTGGCCCCTGTGGCACTGGGGCAGGCAGGCCCTGGGCTGTGGTGAACCCTCAGCCAGGCAGGGGGGTCAGGTTGTCCTCTGCTGCCAGGCTGGCTGTCGGGCGGACGTGCCCCCGGAAGGCAGCAGCCTGGAAAGTGCTGGGAGCAAAGAGGTGACCAGTCAGGCTGTGCGCGCACAGCGATCTCTCATCTCTCCTGCATTTAAGTCTATGGGTCCTGTTTTTTCAGTGTATGTGATGAAAGAGGAGAAAATCTTCTCAGCCTTGCTGATATTAACTTAATTCATCTCTGTGGGCTGGAACGTCAGATGTGATGAACAAGCTGGATCAGGGCTCGTTAGTTTTCTTCAGAGGGGCTCAAAGAGGCGCAGAAAGGTTATCTGTAGACAAGCTTTAGTACTATGGGACATAATAAAAAATTACCAGGATGGCAAAGCAATTGTTGTGCCTGATCTAGCTGTCAGCAGCCACAGAGAGTTCAGAAGCGCAGTCGGAGCGCGGTGCAGCGCTGCTGGCAGCACCCTGCACAGCCTTGGTCAAGTCACTTACCAGCAGCTCCTGGCATGCCGCCTGCTTCCCAGGGCTGGGGAGATTTATTACTTCCTGCTTGTGCGCCATGCTAGAAGTACGAAGTGCTAAACATTGCTAAAAGCTGCTATGAAAAAAAGTGTTATGGACAACAACAATATTTTATAGCCTGATTTTTTTTTTTCTCTGCTAAAGTTTCCATGCTGAAATAGAGTACAAGCACACAATGCATGCACGCGCGTGCATGCACGCACACGTACACGCAGAGCAAGGAGGGAGCAAGGATGGGAAGCTGAATGTCGACATGTGAAACAATGCCAAGACGGACTTAAATGGCTTGCTACGTCATTATAGAGCAGTAATTAACTGACCTGACCAGTGGAATATTTATTTTTGTTTTTAAAAAGCCCAGGGTAGGAATATTGGCTGATCGTTCTTGCACTTTTTCCAAATCTAAGAAAAGCTGGTTTCCACGGAAGCCTAGTGTGTTGCTTCTGGGAGCCTAAACTGCAGCCACACAGGAGTACTGCACAGAGCCCAGGAAGGCGAGCAGACTAACATGCAAAGTGAGATTGATTGTTTCATTTTCTTTGTCTAGCTTGAGAGAGGCAATGAAGAGCGCAAGAGAAACAAATGTCAGAAAAACTGTGTATTATGAATCGCTTTTTTAAAGCCATATAAGGATGTATTTATAACACAGTAACTGCTTTTTAATTGAATTTTATATGCAGTTGAAATTCTGTACTTAAAGGAAAATTCAGTGTGACACTTCCAGAGAGGAGCTCTCTGAACATGTGTTTTATATCGGACCAGGTTCTCCCAACTGATGAATCAGTTGAACATAAGAAGTCCCACAGACAGAGCCATAGGAAGAAAGTCCTACCGGAGATCTACCTGACCAGGCTGCTCTCCACAAAGGTAGGAGACGGGACAGCCTCATTCATGGCAGGTGGGATTATTGTTTGTGGTCTGTAGCAAGAAGCCTACTCTAGCAAAGGAGCACTGCAGGGCCGGTCGCTCTCGAGAGGCAGTGGGACTCTTCTGTCCTGGACGGCTGGAACGTGTTTAGCAAGGCTGCCAGGCACCACTAGCTCCTTGGGTTCCCTCCAGCTTTCCAGCTCACCCTCTGAGCAGCAGTGCTGCTGCGTGAAGCCCCACACGATCTCCCTGGGCTGGTCTGGGGTCTGTGCACATGAAAGGGATGTTGACCACCTCAGGGCTCATGATGCACAGTTTAGAGCTGAACCCATCTCCCCAGCGAGAAATCCTGCTGGGAAAGGAAATGAAGATGCTCAGCTCTGGGAGCAGGGGGAATGTCTGTGCAATCTTAATTCAGATTTGAACTTCCCCACTCCGCGAGTGCTCAGCTCCAGCAGTTGGGCTCCCAGCCCATCTTTAATCCCAGCATGATGCTTCACTGGAGCAGAGATCACAAGAATGGCCAGCAGTCTACAGTCTTCTTTGTATTTACTGTGCAGAACAATCACAGATGTGATATCCTAGCAGTAAGAAAGAAAATCTTGATGCCAAAAGAAATTAAACCCAAATGCAAGCTAATTATATCACTATGCACAAACAAACCTTTCCCTCCCTGCTTCGGCATCCCCTTTCTCTTCTGATTTATCCAACTGGCAGCAAAGGATTTCCCCTTGTGCACAGCAGTCGCAGCCCCTGACACTGTTTCCCTGGGCTCAGGTGCTGCTGCTTTCCCCAGTCTCCATCATGTGTGCTTGTCCCACAGGGCACGCTGCAGAAGTTCCTGGACGACTTGTTCAAAGCCATTCTCAGTATCCGAGATGATAAACCACCTGTGGCCGTGAAGTATTTCTTTGACTTCCTAGAGGAGCAAGCAGAGAAAAGAGGGATCACAGACCCTGACACTATGCACATCTGGAAGACCAACAGGTTTGGAAGAGGAAATTTCTTCTTTCTTTCCTTCCTTCCATCTCTCAGGAGCAGCAGCTGCAAAGCCTTGGTGTCCTGGACTAATCATTAGGTTGCTAAAAGTAGAAGAGGGACTTGGAAAATAGGAAGGGTGGTGGAGGGGGCAGCGAAAGATGAGGCCAAACACAGGCTTGGAGAGCTTTGAACAAACACAGAGCTCAGGGGAACGGCGAGCTGGAAGAGGAGGCATAGGCAGATAAAGGGCAGAACAAACTGGCACACTAATACAAATAATTAAAGGAGAAACAGAAGGGCGACAGGATGACGGGATGGCGTTAGCTCCAAGCACTGGAGATCTGAGACAGAATCCAAAATCATGTCAGATCTTAAAACATCATGGAGATTTTAAAAACAACATATTTGGCTCCTTTTCATTTGCTTTCTGGCTTTTCAGCCCTTGGGGGCACTTTTCCCAACTTACCTCTGTAACCAAGCTGAGACTCCAGGGTATTCACAGGACTCCAGGAGCTGGTGCTGTGACAGTAGTGGGCTGGCAGGCACCGCAGCACTGGGGACCAGCCAGGAGCGGTGCTGAGGGACGTGATGAGCAGCAGGAATGGGGTGGGACAGCCAAAGTGAAGGGGGGAAATAGAGCAGGGAAGAAACCAGAAGATTTAACCGGGGAGAGCAGGGAGCTTGGAGGGAGTGTTGAGGAGACACTCAGCACTTCTGAGGCTGCAGGGACAGTAACTGTTTCCAGCCCAACATGTGAAAATTCAAAACAAATTTGGCTGGGATAGCAGGTGTGCAGACACAACCATTGAGCTACAGATTTGCCTACCCTTCATTACCTTTAATTGCCAGTAGAGCAAAGACTTATAGCAGCTTTCACTCCTCAACTCCTCAGCTGCTGAGGAGGGATGGTAGGAAGGGCGAGCAATGTACTGAAACTATGTTGTGGCCAAATGAGCAGTGAAATAACTGGAGGAGAAAATGATGAGAGAGCAGAAAAAAAGACACATGAAATGCATTTCATGGGGCCAGGCTTACCAACAGAACCAGATGATGGTTACTGTCGGGAAGAAGGAAAAGGAGCTGACACCATTGCTACAAAAATCAGCAAGTGGGGAAGCCTGATTCAATAGCCCCATGCAGGCAAACCTGCCAGTGGCTCAGGGAGCTGCTGAAGGATCAAGGGTGTATGCTTGCCTAGACAAGGCTGTACTTGAAGTCTCCTGGCCGCGCCACGTGCTTCAGCCTGAAGAAATGTCTCTTCAGGGTGAAGACGTGTGCCTGCCCCTCTAGCTAGGCAGAGGGCCATACGCTACCAGGATGTGATTAAATAGCAGAACCTGGCTCCTCATTTTTTTCCTCTCCACTATTCACTTTCTGTCATCATCTTTCCTGCATTTCCTCCCCTCTCCCTCTGGAGTACACCCAGTGTGTGTTCCTGGCTTGTTTTCTTCGCAGCCTACCTCTGAGGTTTTGGGTCAACATCCTGAAGAACCCGCAGTTCGTCTTCGACATTGACAAGACAGACCACATTGACGCCTGTCTCTCTGTGATAGCCCAGGCCTTCATTGACGCCTGCTCCCTGTCTGACCTGCAGCTGGGCAAGGTACTGTCCAGAGACGACATCTCACTCCTGCTCGGGCAGTCATAGACACAGACCAGTGCGGGAAGGGACTGTCAGAGGTCACCCAGTCCAGCCTCCCCCAGAAGCAGGGCTGGCTGGGAGCCACTTGCTCAGGTTCATGCAGTTGAGTTTTGGCTGTCTCCAAGAATGAGTTTTCCGCCTCCCTTCCCCACCACTTTGTTCAGGCTTGAGCTTGAATTTGCACCCCCTCTGTCACAAACAGTGGTCAGGGAGTGGGAACACACGGTCACAGGCAGGATGGACAAAGGGCAAGGCCCCAGCCCGGAAGGCTCAGGGGTTGGAGGGAGACCCAGCTGCTGGCTTATGTGTTCGGTGTTACCCAGTGGCTGTATGAGTTGTCCTGCAGTCCCAGGAGAGCACCCAGCTTAGCGCAATGTCTGTAACGCTTCCTGACGGGGCTGAGCTGGTGCATGAGCAGACGAATATTCTCTGTTGTTCGCTCGGGCAGGGGTGTAACGTACCAAGGCGAGCACGGGTGGGTGTCAGCTCTGCTCTGGGCACAGGCACGGGGCACAGGCAGACTCAGCACGGGAGCCCAGCTCCCTCAGTCAGGGTTGGTTTAGGGGACGGCATTAGTCTAACAATCCCGTAACAGCAGCTGAGGGACGATGTAAACTCCCAGTGGCAGGATGGAAAATGACGTAGCTTCAGGTGAAGCTTTAATCATTGCTGTCAGTGGTTTCTGCACAGCCTCTCACCTAGGAGAGCCGTGAGAAGCTCGGGAGGCGAGCCGAGCCTTCATGAACATGGGCTGCGCCTGCCCAGGCAGCACAGACCCAGCCTGGCTCACGTGGAGGTGTGGGGACTGTCTGGGGCCATCCCGTTGACGCCATCCATCAGCACGTGGGAAGCACTTGGCAGGCGCTGCCATAGCCCTGCCTGTGGAGCACCTGGTGCTCCCCTCCGGTGGGTGCTCCCCTCCGGTGGTAGTGTCTCCATCACACGCTGGCCACCTCCGGCCAGCGGACTCGGCACGCCTGCCTAGGAAGCTACGCCTGCTCCGAGCAAATGCGAGCCTGCGCGGGCCAGGTCTCCTCTTCTGCCATCGGGCTCCCACGCACCATCCTGCGGGGCTGGCAGGCAGCAAGACGTCCAGCACGCATGTTTTCTGTTCTCCCACTTGCTTGGCTGAGTGCAGCGTTGACATTTGAAACTTCCCGACATAAGTTTTATTAAGAAATGCTGTAAATCGTCCCCCGCCATCCCCCCGCCCCAGGGGCTGGCAGCAGCACGGTGTGTGATGTAGAGGGGACCCTACAGAGAGAGGGGCGGGAGGCGGGCGCTGCTCAGTGCATCCCCCAGACTGAGAGCAACAGGAAGCCTTCACTGGGAGAGGTTAATACTGGAGGAAGATCTAATGAGCACTTGATTTTTTGTTTGTTTGGGTTTTGGACTTTTTTTTGCATGTCTTACGAAACACCTACAATTTGTCCTTGTCAAGCTGTGGATGAGGGGAAGAGGGGTCAGCTGGAGTCAGACAGCAGATGGAAACATTTTTCAGGAATACAATAGCATAAGTGAAGGAATTGTTGAGTAATGTGGGAAGAATAAATCCTCAGCATAAAAATCAGCTTGCATATACACCCAGTATATCACTGAATGTTTTCCAGGCTGGATTCTTCCCCTGGTTTCAGCATTTTGCTCTTGATACTGCAAATGCGAGAGCAGACTCAGACTCCATACATCTACAGTGCGCAAGCAGTTAATAAACCAGTACCCATCTCTTCATAATACAGACAAATCAGACACGAATTAAAAAATAACTTAAAAAAGAGGCAGCATGGGTTTCTTTTGTGTTTCCAAGGGGGAAAAAAAATGTTGTGAGCAGGCTCTGTAACTTGGCTATATTCCTGTAATGCCTTGTCATTGGGTTTGAAAATAAACTGCTGTGGGATCTGGTGCCACAGCCTGGTGCCCATTTCCCATTTCCCCTGCAGCATTAGCCACGCTACATATTGCAGCAGCAGATTGCAGTTACCCTGGGCTTCCTTATTTACTGCCCGATACAGCTGAAGATGCTGCCTCCACGGCTAGAGCCCTGCCACGCTTGTCTCTTCTGAAGATCCTCCCTCCCCTCTCCACCTGTCAGAGCATCAGGGAGCAGTCCCGCACTCCAGTGTCGGGGCGGCAGGACACGTTGATCTTACTCCCCTCTGTGTCCCCGAGCCTGGGGCTGTTTCCCTTCGGGATGCAGCGCTAGGCCACTCAGCCAGGTTCATTCCCGGGGTAATGATATCAGCGGGGCAGGATTGCCTTGAGGTTAAAATCATTCATGCTTGTGTTTGCAAGGAGTGCAGGAGGGGTTATGCCTTCACTGGTACAACCCGATCGTGTGGCTGGGAGGTTAAGACTGCTTTGTCCAAGCTGACATTAATCAAGAGAACTCAGTATTTTCTGTTAATTACTTTACATGCACTCAATATAGGCCAGGCAGGCTGGGTTAGCCAATGCAAAATAAATCAAAGCTACATGAAAAATCCAAGAGCAACATTTCAACTGACAAAGTTCAGCTTGTAAGAGAGCTTTGTTCTTCAGTTTAAATCAAGCTGGCTGCTCAAGAGACCCGAGTAAAGGCATGCAGAAGCCCTTCCCTTGTTACCAATTTCCACATGCAGAGCCATGGAGCACAAGTGTTTTATCTAACACGGTTGTGCTACACTCATCTGCAGAGCATCACCTGGCAGCAAGCCACCTCACCTGAGCCTGTGCATGCTTTTTAGCCTGCCCTTGCTGCACATCAAAACACATTCACATAGACCACCTTCACTGGCATTGTAGCTAACAAACGTTTAGCTCATGCTAGGAAGAAGGGCAGAGGGATGGTGCTGTGGCTCCGCAGGCGGGTGGTACCTGTCTGCAGCACCTTGATGTGTTTGAGCAAGCACCTCTGTCATTAGCTGTTTTGTGCCTCAGTGCCATCCCATCACACTCCTGTCTGTGTAAAGCCAGGACCAAAGACGTAGCTGTTTCCTGAACCCAGCTGTAGCTGAAGTCAGTGTCTGATGGTTAGCACTTTGGTCAGACAAACAGGATAAAAAGTTTTCAGCCAGGAACAATACGGTGTGCAGGGCTGGCTGGGAGCCACTTGCTCAGGTTCATGCAGTTGAGTTTTGGCTGTCTCCAAGAATGAGTTTTCCGCCTCCCTTCCCCACCACTTTGTTCAGGCTTGAGCTTGAATTTGCACCCCCTCTGTCACAAACAGTGGTCAGGGAGTGGGAACACACGGTCACAGGCAGGATGGACAAAGGGCAAGGCCCCAGCCCGGAAGGCTCAGGGGTTGGAGGGAGACCCAGCTGCTGGCTTATGTGTTCGGTGTTACCCAGTGGCTGTATGAGTTGTCCTGCAGTCCCAGGAGAGCACCCAGCTTAGCGCAATGTCTGTAACGCTTCCTGACGGGGCTGAGCTGGTGCATGAGCAGACGAATATTCTCTGTTGTTCGCTCGGGCAGGGGTGTAACGTACCAAGGCGAGCACGGGTGGGTGTCAGCTCTGCTCTGGGCACAGGCACGGGGCACAGGCAGACTCAGCACGGGAGCCCAGCTCCCTCAGTCAGGGTTGGTTTAGGGGACGGCATTAGTCTAACAATCCCGTAACAGCAGCTGAGGGACGATGTAAACTCCCAGTGGCAGGATGGAAAATGACGTAGCTTCAGGTGAAGCTTTAATCATTGCTGTCAGTGGTTTCTGCACAGCCTCTCACCTAGGAGAGCCGTGAGAAGCTCGGGAGGCGAGCCGAGCCTTCATGAACATGGGCTGCGCCTGCCCAGGCAGCACAGACCCAGCCTGGCTCACGTGGAGGTGTGGGGACTGTCTGGGGCCATCCCGTTGACGCCATCCATCAGCACGTGGGAAGCACTTGGCAGGCGCTGCCATAGCCCTGCCTGTGGAGCACCTGGTGCTCCCCTCCGGTGGGTGCTCCCCTCCGGTGGTAGTGTCTCCATCACACGCTGGCCACCTCCGGCGTGTGGTCAGAGCCCAGCGGACTCGGCACGCCTGCCTAGGAAGCTACGCCTGCTCCGAGCAAATGCGAGCCTGCGCGGGCCAGGTCTCCTCTTCTGCCATCGGGCTCCCACGCACCATCCTGCGGGGCTGGCAGGCAGCAAGACGTCCAGCACGCATGTTTTCTGTTCTCCCACTTGCTTGGCTGAGTGCAGTGTTGACATTTGAAACTTCCCGACATAAGTTTTATTAAGAAATGCTGTAAATCGTCCCCCGCCATCCCCCCGCCCCAGGGGCTGGCAGCAGCACGGTGTGTGATGTAGAGGGGACCCTACAGAGAGAGGGGCGGGAGGCGGGCGCTGCTCAGTGCATCCCCCAGACTGAGAGCAACAGGAAGCCTTCACTGGGAGAGGTTAATACTGGAGGAAGATCTAATGAGCACTTGATTTTTTGTTTGTTTGGGTTTTGGACTTTTTTTTGCATGTCTTACGAAACACCTACAATTTGTCCTTGTCAAGCTGTGGATGAGGGGAAGAGGGGTCAGCTGGAGTCAGACAGCAGATGGAAACATTTTTCAGGAATACAATAGCATAAGTGAAGGAATTGTTGAGTAATGTGGGAAGAATAAATCCTCAGCATAAAAATCAGCTTGCATATACACCCAGTATATCACTGAATGTTTTCCAGGCTGGATTCTTCCCCTGGTTTCAGCATTTTGCTCTTGATACTGCAAATGCGAGAGCAGACTCAGACTCCATACATCTACAGTGCGCAAGCAGTTAATAAACCAGTACCCATCTCTTCATAATACAGACAAATCAGACACGAATTAAAAAATAACTTAAAAAAGAGGCAGCATGGGTTTCTTTTGTGTTTCCAAGGGGGAAAAAAAATGTTGTGAGCAGGCTCTGTAACTTGGCTATATTCCTGTAATGCCTTGTCATTGGGTTTGAAAATAAACTGCTGTGGGATCTGGTGCCACAGCCTGGTGCCCATTTCCCATTTCCCCTGCAGCATTAGCCACGCTACATATTGCAGCAGCAGATTGCAGTTACCCTGGGCTTCCTTATTTACTGCCCGATACAGCTGAAGATGCTGCCTCCACGGCTAGAGCCCTGCCACGCTTGTCTCTTCTGAAGATCCTCCCTCCCCTCTCCACCTGTCAGAGCATCAGGGAGCAGTCCCGCACTCCAGTGTCGGGGCGGCAGGACACGTTGATCTTACTCCCCTCTGTGTCCCCGAGCCTGGGGCTGTTTCCCTTCGGGATGCAGCGCTAGGCCACTCAGCCAGGTTCATTCCCGGGGTAATGATATCAGCGGGGCAGGATTGCCTTGAGGTTAAAATCATTCATGCTTGTGTTTGCAAGGAGTGCAGGAGGGGTTATGCCTTCACTGGTACAACCCGATCGTGTGGCTGGGAGGTTAAGACTGCTTTGTCCAAGCTGACATTAATCAAGAGAACTCAGTATTTTCTGTTAATTACTTTACATGCACTCAATATAGGCCAGGCAGGCTGGGTTAGCCAATGCAAAATAAATCAAAGCTACATGAAAAATCCAAGAGCAACATTTCAACTGACAAAGTTCAGCTTGTAAGAGAGCTTTGTTCTTCAGTTTAAATCAAGCTGGCTGCTCAAGAGACCCGAGTAAAGGCATGCAGAAGCCCTTCCCTTGTTACCAATTTCCACATGCAGAGCCATGGAGCACAAGTGTTTTATCTAACACGGTTGTGCTACACTCATCTGCAGAGCATCACCTGGCAGCAAGCCACCTCACCTGAGCCTGTGCATGCTTTTTAGCCTGCCCTTGCTGCACATCAAAACACATTCACATAGACCACCTTCACTGGCATTGTAGCTAACAAACGTTTAGCTCATGCTAGGAAGAAGGGCAGAGGGATGGTGCTGTGGCTCCGCAGGCGGGTGGTACCTGTCTGCAGCACCTTGATGTGTTTGAGCAAGCACCTCTGTCATTAGCTGTTTTGTGCCTCAGTGCCATCCCATCACACTCCTGTCTGTGTAAAGCCAGGACCAAAGACGTAGCTGTTTCCTGAACCCAGCTGTAGCTGAAGTCAGTGTCTGATGGTTAGCACTTTGGTCAGACAAACAGGATAAAAAGTTTTCAGCCAGGAACAATACGGTGTCTGATTTTGGTATCTCGCCCTCACTCTAGGACTCCCCGACCAATAAACTGCTGTACGCCAAGGAGATCCCCGAGTATAGGAAGATAGTGCAGCGATACTACAAGCAAATCCACGACATGCCCCCGCTCAGCGAGCAGGAAATGAACGCCCACCTCGCGGAGGAGTCGCGGGTAAGGCGCGCTGGGCTGCAGCGGGTGGAGGGGGGGCTCAGCCGGTGCGCGCCCCCGTGCCGGGGATGGGGTCGGGTCTGCAGTCTCAGTGCCCTGCCAGAGCGAGGAGCACCAAGCCTGCTCTGCTCTGGCTGACAGCAGGAGTCTGGGAGTGGCAGGGAACGCAGATAGGCTGCAATCAGCTACTGATTAGATGCTGGAAGGAGCAAACGAACGGATATTTTGCCTCAAACTTCCACGCACAAACTTCATCTGACCTAATTCCAAGCATCTTCAATTACTGCCAGAGCTGCAGTAAACACCCATGAGTTAGCTTGAACCTAACTAGCTTTGGCACCACTGGGAGTTGAAAGCGAAATTCATTGCCAAAGAGCCGGGAAGTTTAGAAAAGGATCTGCGCAGCCCTGCAGCCCCCTGGCCAGCTGGCCCCCGGGCGCCAACTGCCGGGGCCGGCCCCAAGTCCCAGGCAGCCCGCTGGCAGTCAGCCCTGGCAGCTGGCCCGGGTGCGGGATGCCGGCCCTGGTATCAGCTACGGGAGCTGGCAGCCACGCTCCGGATCCGAGTCCTGCCAGTGATACGCCACAGCTTCCTCAAAATCAAACCATCTCCCCGCGGCATTTTAGCTTCAGCCACCGAGCGGATTTTTTTCCGTTGGCATTCCTCTGCCCAGCTCTCACGCTGCCCCATCCTTTGAAATGGCTTTGAGCGTGGAGGGGTAAACAGTGTTACCAAGTGTGGGCATTTAAGGCTGGCTTTAAAAAGACTAAGACCGTTTCTGATGCAAGCAAATGCACCTTCCTTAAAGGAGTAAGTCAAAAGTCCAGCTGCATCAATGCAACAGTAACAAAAATACCCGGGCAAAACCTTCTTTTAATCTAGTTAATGCCTGCTGATTGGGCTTGAACTCACTTGCTGCATCACGTTAATATTCCTCGCCTCTTTGTTCTGTCTTTATAAAGAAATACCGGAACGAATTCAACACCAACGTCGCCATGGCTGAGATATACAAATACGCCAAGAGATACCGCTCCCAGGTAAGTGAGTTCAGCTGCACTCAGGCCCCAGCGTACCTGTGGAGGGAATAACAAGCAGTATGTTGTAACCAAGCGGTCAGACGCTTGCATCCAGTCCCACAGAAAAGGGATTATCGTTTTTTGCATAATCCCACGCACATATGTAATATATGCACACACAGATGCACCTGCTCTCCTATCCCTTGGCTGACGACTTCTTGGAAGAGAAGGCCAGCTATTCCTGACTGATTTTAACAGCCTTTGGCTGGGCCGGGCTGAAGCAGGGCTGCCCGATGTGTAGACCCACAGATGCTTTCAGTAGGGCAGAGCACGCTGATACAGTCCACACCCAAAATAACTTGCTACCCGCCACCCCCAGCAGAGGCACTGGCCCTGGCTGGCTCCTGACCCCCTGCACTCCCATGCTGTGGGCTGGCTCTGCGCTGTGAGCTTTATTATTACAATGGTTTTTGGTTGCATCCCCCTCCTCTCCCATCCCCTGCCCAGGGACTCAGCTGTGCCCTGGAGCAGCCGGAGGGTGCTGGGGTGTGTGAGCACAGGGGCTCTGGGGCAGGGTGGGCTCTCCCTGTCAGAGGTCCGGCTGGGATTTGGGCTCAACAGGCTGGCGGGGGGAGCTGGGCTGGTGGGTGGGCACCCCTGCCTGCACTGCCTCAGCCACCCATCTGCCCGCGTCTTCTGCAGATCGTGGCTGCCCTGGATGCCAACCCCACGACGAAGCGCACCCAGCTCCAGCACAAGTTTGAGCAAGTGATTGCGCTCATGGAGGATAACATCTACGAGTGCTGCAGCGAAGCCTAGGCTGACTGCAGCCCTGGAAGTGACCTCCTCCGTAGCGCAGTGCCGTAGGGAACCTGCCTTCAGCCGCGGATACACCATGGATCCACCGTGGATCATCTCCGCCAGGGTCATTCTCAAACCAGCCTTGTGGTGGGGGTGGGCCTGGCCCGTGGCTGAAGGGCTCCCTCACCTAACAAGAAGCCACAAGACACCTTTCCGAGCAGCAGAAAAACCCTCTGGTCTGCACTGTGGCACCCATAATTTATTTGCTGCCAGTGAGAAATGGAGACGAGACACTTGTGGCAAGCTCAGTTCACCACTTCCCTCTGATCAGCGTCCGAGCGGTCAGCAGCTCCCTGCATCCCTGTTTGTGGTTCCTCAGGATGAGAGACGGGGCTGCAGAAGCCATAACAATAGACACAAAACAGTAGGGTAGCCTCAGGGAGTAATGAGCAGAGATGGCAAAGGCCATCGGAGCAACACCTGAGCTCCCTTCCACACCATCCCTCTGACATCCTTGTTTTTCCAACACCAGGGACTCTATCAGCTGTTCACTATCTGCTGCATTCTGTGTATTTTTGTGCCTTTTAATTTTTGTGCTGTATGTGTAAACATAACCACTCCTCCATCTGAGGATCGTCTTGGGCAACACGGGGAACTCAGGGCTGAGACAAAGCAGTTGCTTCCCAAGTAGCTAAGGCATGGTGAAAGCACTTTATCCCCTAACAGAGACAGCTGTTACGGAGCTGGAGGGAGCGTGTTACATGTCAGACAGTGTGGGAAGGGCTGCTTCCCCTTCCCCAGGTTCCCAGATCTGCATGCACAGTGAGCTGGAGTTGCAGTGGGTAGGCAAATATCCCCTAACGACCCACCTTTCAGCCAGCTGGTCACAGGCACAGCTTCTGCCTAGAAGCAGAAGACGAGATGCAGTGGGTGAGGGGAAGGACTTCTGCCTCGCACTCCGGTCGCCCTGCTATGCTGGCTGTGCACACATCTGTAGCACTGCCCCAGCTCAGCCCTGGTAACGCTGCTCATGCCAGCAGGGGTTAGCTCCTGCTGACAGCCCCGTGACAGAGCGGGCTTGAGCCACGTGGAGGGCAAAACACCAGGTAGCATCTTCCCTCCCTCTGCCCCATGTGCTCCAGCATCTCCCTGTGATCATCACTGAAAACAAGGTCAGTGCTGCAGAGGTGTCTTCCTAAAGCAGCTTGTTCTGCTTGCTTCGGACCCAGCCCACCATGGTTGTCGCCTGAGAGCAACCAAGAGCACGCGGTTTTGCTGTGTATCCAGTCTTTTTTTCGGCCCATAAAGGCAAAGGGACTGGACCCCATCCACCTGGCAGCACAATGCTCTCACTCACGCAGGCCAGCAGAGCAGCTCCAGCACCCCAAGCTGCAAACAAAGGCAGAAAGTGTCCCATGCCTCCTTACACTGGGGTCAGTGAGCAGGGTCCCACTGCGCAGACCTAGAAACTTCACTGCTGTTCCGTGGCATCTGCGCTGGGGCAAACCCCCTGTCCCAGCTTGGTGGCCCATTCTCCTTTCTGCTGGCAACTTTGTCCTTTCTGCAGCCAGGGGAGCTGTGACTGCTCTGGTCTTCTCCAGTGTCACCCAGGCCCCTCTGTAGAGGCTGGACTGCAGCTAACACCACGTGCTTGAAGCCAGCATTCACACGCAGGCAAAGGCAACCTGCCCATGAAAGCTAAACCCAGCCGTAGCCACCGCATTGTCAAACTGCCAAATAGAAAAGAAAAAAAAAAAAAAGAAAAAAGTTACTACCTCACTCCAGGCAGGGTCTAAGGTGAGCCTCCGTTACTCATCCAGCTGGCAAGGATGCAACCTGGTATTAGATGACTTTGGTCCACCAAAACTCCTCCTGGGTGACTCACTGCCATGGACAGGTGGCCTCCATCCCATTGTTTCCAGTAATGCCACATCTGTCAGAAATTGGAACATCAGAATTGTGTATGTGTATATAGATATCTATTTTAAAACAAATGATAGACTTTATCCTGTATGTTAAAAGGGAGGGGAGGGAGGGGAGGGAAAGGGGAAGAACAGAGGTTTGTTTGTTTTGTTTTGTTTTTTAGAACTACAGAAAAAGTACATACACTGTGGAGGTTTCAATGTCTTTACTGAGGATGTGGCTTCAGAATAGAAACTCTAAGAATGTAGCTGGGCTACATTTTATTTTGAAAGTGATTTCACAAAAAAATCTTGAATTTTTTTTTCTTTTAGAAACTGTGAATAGCTGCCAGAGATATAGGCAGGCCCAGCACAGGGAAGGCGAGGTTGAGAAGGACCAAGGTAGCAGAGAACGTTGAGCTTGGCTGGAGGTGGGGAAAGGGCCATGGAGCGATAGCCCCATGTTGTTACAAGGAAAGGATACAGGTGAGCCGACAGTATAGTTTGCCTCCAGGTGATGTCACTGGGCCATGTATTGGGGCCTATTGCTTTATTATTTAATTTTTTCCAAAGCAAAAAAAAAAAAAAAAAAAAAAAGTAGTTGCTACAACCATTTTAAAGGAACAACTTTAACGGAGCAGAAGCTTGAGGGTTTCTAGTGTTGCCTTGAACCCCCAAGCCCTTTGTAACATGTTTTTAAACTTTGGCACGTGTTGTGGGTGTAGTGCCCTTACCTGCTGTGTAGTGGAAGTGGCAGACTCTTGGAAAAGCCTATCTTTGTAATAAAACAAGGTGCTGAAACCTGTGTAGTGAAGTTCCTGCCTGTGTGCACACAGAGGACACACACTGGGGAAAACACCCGGCGCCACCCACAAGGTCAGGCTGCTGTCCCTTGCCCAAGGACGGGGTGCCTCTCCTCCCATGCCGTCCCCCCCCCGGCCTGCCGACCACCGCACTCACCCAGCGCAAAGCACAAGGAGGAGGGCAGCTGTCGGGTGCGCACAGCGAGCTTTGCATGTACAAGACGTACCATGCTCAGGGTTGGCAGCTCAGCCGATAACCACCTTGTTTCCATAGCAGATGGGCTTTTACCCCTCTGGGCTGCAGAGCCCTGGTTTCCTGCAGAGCACGCTGTGACCACGCACCGCTCCTACCCGGTACCACAGCTCCCACCAGAAAAGGAGCTGGCGCAGAAAGGGGAAGATCTGCGTGAGGACACAACCACGCACCTGAACTGACTGCATGCTGTGCTGCACACACAACCAGTAACACCACAGGAGCGCCCAGGGCTGGGCACCCTTGCATCTCCAGTGCCATCAGCCCACAAGACGGTGTCTTCTCCCAGCCCTGGGGAGCCCAGCGCCTGCTGTGCCCCACAGCTGCTGCCAGCCCTCGAGGCTTCTGGCTTCAGTGCCGTAACACCAGCCGTGGCCCATAGGTCTTAATAACCATGTCATTGCTCAATCCTCTCTCTTCCACCTCCCCCAGTAAAAGCTGCTCTTTCCAGGCACCAGAGGGATTTTCTTTTCCCACTAGAAAGTTGATTCTTAGTAGAGCTAAATCCAGCCATTAAATTATTTGGCCTCTCTCAAAGCAAAAGAGCCTTGTGTTTCACACTGGGTGCCTGGCGAGAGAGGACACAGCTCCTGCCTGGTTCTGGTTTTGTTACGGGACATTTCCATGCTAGCGACCAGTGCTTTGTGAGGTTAACCATCACCAAAGGGCCAGGTGACCTCTGCTCAGTTATTACCACAGCATCCCCCACCCTGTCCCTGGGGGGACATGAGTTTCGGCTCCATTAAAGATAGATCAACATGGCCAAGGCTGAAGTTTAAAGAGAAGTTAGTTTGCTCAGCTCTTGCTTAAGCCCCAAAGCAAGGCCAGGAGCCTTGGAGGGCATTGGCAAAGCCAGCTGAAGATTAACAAAATCCTCTTTAGGAAGAGAGTTTTACTTCCACTTATTTTTTGCTGCCCAGGAGGACTGTAACCCTTTGCATTATCAGGCTGACCTTCAGAAGGGCTCTGTTCTGTGCAGAACGAGAGAAATTCAGGCATTTGAAGCTATTAAAGGAAAGCGTTCATATGTTGACCCACAGGAGCTAGGAAGACAGGTTTAGAGGTGGGCACTGTGCCACTGATAGATAACAAGAGCACAAGCAATGCTGCAGTCTACAACAAACACCCCAAACTCTTTTTTTGAGCCCTAAAACACTTCTATCTTCCTCTTACCATGGTTAGAGCACAGGCAGCTCCCCCTGGCACTGGGGACCCTTGCCCATGGCATGCACCCGGACCTGCTGCCCTGGCACTCCTGTAATCCCAGCTCAGCCAGGCATTAGTGCAAGGGCAACCAGGAGGGCAGAGGACCAGACACGTACCCCACACCAAGGCTGTGGACGCCACGGCCCCGCACCAGCAGGGCTGGCCAAGCCTGAGCTTCGCAGTGCCCAGGGGTGCCACCGTGCTGCGCCCCAAGGCTCCCAGGGCCCCCTGCCTGGGCCATCACCCAGCACTGGGGCTCACCACCAGCCTGCACACACACACAGCCCCCCAGAGCCTGGCACTGCTGGCTGGCCAGGTGTGCCACTGCAGCCAGCAGCTGGGGACACATGGGTACAGACAGGGCACCTCTCCATGACAGCAGGCACAGCAGGCAGCTGCCTGCAGCACCAGCTCACCACCATGCCACACAGGGCTGGGGGGGATTTTGCCCCTGCACTCCTACCTCCCAGCAACAGAGACAGGCAGGGCAGTAGTCACACCATTTCATGAGTGGAGTGAAGCAGCTTTATTATCAGGAGGTGAACACAGAATTAAAACCTGTCCTGAAGACTAAAACCGACCCAGACCCCAAGGGCCCGGGCCCAGCTGGAAGCAGGGCTGGGCTCCCACAGGGAGCGGGGCTGCCTGGGACCCCCTACGGGGCCTTCCTGCCTGCTGGTGTGGGGGCTGCCTTCTGCAGCCTGGCCTCCCCCTGACTGGCTCCCCGGGCTGCCTGGGGCTTCCTCGCTTTGCCTTGACCCCCCTTCCCCTTGGGGGCATCTTGCTGTGCTCCCTTGGGTGCCTTCCCCTTGCTCTTTCCCACTGGGGCCTTTCGGGGCCCCTTTGCCCCAGCACCCGCGAGGCTGTCACCATCGCCCCCTCCTGCATCCTCCGCAGCCAGAGCCACAGGGGGCCCTGAACGCCCTTTGCCAGGCGCCCGGGCACGGCTGGCAGCCTGCAGGGTCTTCGCTCCATCGCTCCTGGGCTTCACTGCTGCTGGTGGCCGGGCCTGGAGGGGAAAGAGCACCTCAGACTGCCGCCATACCATGAGCCACCCAGCCTCACTGCTGGGCCCTACTCACATCTGTAGGCTTCGCCCTCGGCTTCTGCTTCGCTGCTGTCGGCTTCTCCTCCGCAGCGCCTGTGGGAGAAGGGGCAGTGGATGAGCCCAAGCAAGGGCCTCTCCATGGGGCCGGGGCAGCCCTGGGGTGGCTCGTGGTACCACCAGCCCTTTACCTTGCTGTCGCACACCTGCCACGGGGGCCCGGGGGGGCTTAGTGGTCCCTTTCCGTCCCAGCTTCGGGGCCTGTGCTCCATCAGGATCCACCTGGCCCGGTGGCTGCTTGTGCTGCAGCTTCTTGGGGGCTAACTGGGGGTGAGAGAGGGGTGGAAGTGAGGCCAGGCAGCACCTCAGCCCCCAGCCCCACTGCTTCGGGGCCAGCAGACCCCTGCTCACCTTGAAGCGGCCAGTGGCCCCCATGGCGGAGGAGTTGTGGGGCCGCACCAGGTCCCCACGGCTCAGCCCCTTGCTCAGTGCCTGCTTCAGCAGGTACTTGAGGCGGACGGGGTCCACGGTGGGGTACTTGGCCAGGATGAACCGCTTGATGGCAATGACAGAGGCACCCTTCCTCTCATCCTGGGCCCGCAGAGCCTCGATGACCATGTGCAGGGTGGGAGGGTGGGAGGGCCGCCGGCCCCGGGCCAGCAGACCCGGGAGCCGGGCTGCGCCAGCAGCTTCGGCTGCTGGGAGAGGCAAGAGGCACCCCTTGGGACCTGGGCTCAGCCCCAAGGCACTCACACCTCCAAGGGCTGCAAAGCCCCCTAGAAGCTGAGCAGCCACGACCCCGCTCATCCCTGCAGCCTCACAGGGACCACAGCCACCAGAGCTCGAGCCCGAGCAGTGCCCCAGCCCCACAGGAGCCACAGCTCTGCCGGGACCCCACAGCGCTTGGCAAATCCCTTACCCAGCTGAGGCTCCATGGCAGCACACGCCCACCTGAGCACACCAGCCTAAAGCCCCAGGCCCAGACAGCCACAGCTCTTGCTCACAGGCTCACTTCACTTCCAGCTAATTTATCTGATTAGCACCCTAACTGCAGGGGCTGGTTAGCAGCTGCTAATTGCTCTGGTTGCTGCCCCGGTGGGAGCAGGTGGCTGGGAAGCCGAGTGCCCTTTGCCAAAGCTTTTCGAGGGGCTGGAGGGAGAAGGGGCATGTCCGAGCCCTGAGGGTTTGGAGGGGGGCAAGAGATGAGGGGTTCGCGGGGTGATTGCCCTAAACATGCAGGGGAAAGGCACCTACCCGCTGCTTGGTTGGTGGCGGGGTGCTGGGATTGCAGCTTGCTGACAGTGCTTGCTGTGGGGCAGATGGGGAGCCAGCCCATGGCATGGGGCCCACACGGGACCCGTTCCTGGTGTGCTGGTGTGACCCGCCGGCTCCCTTCGCCGGGGATGGCCCCACTGGGAAGCTGGGGGCTGCGCTGCCAGGGGAGCCTGATACGGGGGGCAGAAATGATCCCACAAACGAGAGGAGGAAAATGGAGAGCTGCTTTGTTGGCCAGCGAAGGTAGGAGGAGCGACTCTCCCACAGTAGCCCCAGGTGTGCACTCATGAGCAGGACCCCCACTCACCCCTGCCTGCCGAATCCCACCATGCTCAGGGGAGAGCACTCCCAGCCCCACACGTGGGTGGCTTCTCCATGTCCCCTCCATGCCGATTCTTGGCGTAGCAACCGCCCCATGCCAAGGACAGCATCGTCCCATCGGCCAGGTGTGAGCTGAGCCCTTGACCATCTGGAGTCCCCGAGGCGCCCAGGGCACTTCTGTGTCATGGCCGTGTTAAAAATAAGCCCTCTTGTGACCCTATGGACACTTTCCCCGCTGTTACAGTGGGGTAGGATATTTGTGCTACTTTCTGTTCTGCCTGGGCTCGCAAGGCAAGCCTGAGTAATTCACCAGCTGCTCCTTGGTGCAGGAACAGCGCGAATGTCCCCACCTTGGGGACCACTGTGTTTCTCCACAGTGTGCCATGTCAGTCCCTTCCTCTTTACGCAAGAGGCACCGGGATTTTGTACACATCATCTGTCAAAGCCGTGGGGGAGCTGCAAGCCTGAGCAAGGGACGGGATTACGTGATGGCAGGGCTGGTTCACCGCCCAACTTAGCAGACATGTTACCATGCCAATGTACGTGCAAAGCGCTGCCCAGAAAGATCTTCGTCAAGGTCTGTGCCCACCTGCTGAGTCCGAGGTCCAGACCCTGGCAGGGGACTGAGGGGCCAGCAGGAGCCAGGTCTGGAGCAAGGAGCTGGGAGAGGCACCCACTGCCCGAGCCCTGCATGCCCGGCTCCCCCCGGACCAGCACCACCAGCCTGTTCCCTGCTCCACTTCCAGTCCATTCCTGAATTCCCCGGGAAGAAGGCAGTGGGGACACTGGGGGGCTGCAGGGGCTGGCACCACAGCAGGGATGGGTGCATCTCTTCCAACCATCTGCTCTTCCTGGATCTGGCCATCACCTCTCCGGCAGCTCCGTGATGCCTCCAGCACCCACCTGGGCTGGCAGGGCAGTCCCAAACCCTCGCTTGCCCCTACCACCGCCAGCAGCAGCCATAGGGCTGGGCATCACATGGGGCGACAGCCTGTGGGCTCGGGGCCAGGACATCACTAGCATGTGCTGGGGCTGGTCCAGTGTGGGCGGGAAAGCTGCAGTGCCAAGCATTGCACAGCTCCCGTGGGGCACAGCCTCGCGGACAGCAAATAAACACCAAATCCTTCCTCCTCTTCCCTCCAAAACTAGCTCCCACATTTGAAGTACATGAATCAGACATCAGCCTAAACACTGAATTATTCATAAACCTCTAATCTTTAGATTTCACTGAATATGCAGAAGTATCGATAAAAAAAATGAGAGAATTGTACTTGCAAATTGCTCTTTATTAAAGGTTTAACTTGCATGGATTCTATACATTCCCTATTAGACCTTGCAAAGCTGCATAGAATTAGAAATCAGAGAGGATAATAATGTACAAAAATAGTTTCAAATGTTGATAACACTGAACAGCGAGAAAAACATCTTATTTGTATAACTGAGCTAAAAATAAAAATGAAGAACACTGCTACAATTGCAATATGCCATCTTGTAGTGCTTAAAACATATGTCAAAGTCTCTGAGCCATATGCTCCCATGTCTTGCCTGCTACAGCGCGGAGGGAAGCTTAGCGATGCACCAATCAATCCTCAAAAGCACAAGCACTGGCCAAAACCTCCTACTTGGGCTGATGCCAAACTGATTGCATCTGAACCGGGGAGGTGTGTGGGAGGACCGGGAGGAGCATGCCTCGGGGCATGGCCCTGGGCCGCAGGGGGCCCAAAGATGCCTAAGGATGAACGGCGGTACTATGGGGAGGGGGTGCTTCCTGCTGGGGGGACATCAAGTGGGGCTGCTGCTGAGGGTGCAAACACCGTGTGCATGTTGCTGTGCCGGGTGCCTGCAGCAGCAAGCACCGAGCCCTCCCTGAGCACATCCGACTGTGGCTGCACATGGCTGTGCTGTGCCATGCCGTGCCATGCTGTGCCGCCAGGTCCCCTCTGTGCCACCTGCTTGCTGGGCAGGATTGCAGCCATCACCTCTGCAGCATGGAGGGGCCCATGTACACTGCTACCCTGTCCTGTTGCCCCTGGAGGGGTCATGGTGCCTGCCGGGGCTTCTGACATGCTGGAGGTGGGGCAGGGCTGGAGCTGGGAGCACCTGGCAGGGCTGGGGGCACCTCGCAGCAGCCAGACTTGCCCCTGGGCAGCCGGCGCACGGTGGGGCTGAGCAGCTGGGTGACACTGGCCAGACTCTGTCTCCGGCAGCAGAGCCGGGGGGTGGCCCCACCTCTGGCCCCCACAGCGGCAGAGGCAGGGATGCGCCCAGGCCCCAGCCGGGCTGTCGAAGTGGGGTGAGGGAGGCGAGGGTGGCTCTGCCGCGGCCCGGGGCTCGCGCATGGCGGTGCAGGGTGTGCAGGCGTGATGGGGGCATCAGACCCAGGGGTCTGCACTTGGAGCAGGGGGGGCGCGAGCTCTCAGCAAGTCAAAAGAAAAGCATGGATTTACGCCAGTGGAGGAGCTAAGCCTTTGCATTTTAATTACAAAACGTGTGTACACATTTACAGCCTTGTTCCCAGGGTTCCTAGTGCCAGGAGAGAGGAGCCCGCCCTGCGGGGCTGTGGCCGTGGTGAAGCGGGGGCGGGTGGTGGCAGCATCGTGCTCCCGGGGCGGCGACGCACGCCCCAAGGACTGGCCGCTCCAGCGGGGCCTACGCGGGAGAGACCTGGCTGGTGGAGACGGAGGAGGTCGAGGTCTCTGTCTTGACAGCAGACGTGTCCTCGTCGCCCAGCGGGTTCTTGCCGCAGCAGAGGGTTGTGATCATGCAGTTACGGAACTGGAAGAGAGGGAAGCCCGGGGTGAGGCAGGTGGACGCCAGGTGGCTCCGGCTGCGGGGCTGCCTCCGAGCCTGGCAGAGCTGCTTGGAAGCCCCCACCACCACAGTGCGGGAGGTGCCATGTCAGTGGAGCCTCCTTCCCCGCTGCCTGCTGCCTGCCCTGCCTGCTGCTCAGGGCCGGCGTGAACGCAGCTCCAGCTCCTCCACCGACCTAGTGCCTGGGTCATTTCAGACAGGATGGGCTTGCATTTATGAGATTTATGCAACGCCAAGGATGAGCTGCACAGTCACCCTCCTGCATGCCGAACAACATCACCTGGAAACAAACTCCCCTCCCAGACCACTGGTACCTTGAGGTGCTGTAACTCTCTGCAAGCTGTTATAAAGCGAAACACAAAAAAGGAGATCGCCTGGCATCCTGCCAGTTACCTGTTTGTTCATTACGATGTAAATCACAGGGTTGTAGATGGCGGAGCTTTTGGCAAAGAAAGCCGGGATGGTCATGAAGATGGGCCCAAAGTCCGCCCCCTGGTTGGTGAAGATGTAGATAGCGACGCTGGCGTAGGGGACCCAGCACATCAGGAAGGAGATGACCATGATGATGACCATGCGGGTCACTTCCTTCTCTGCCTTCTGGGTGGTAGCAGACTCTTGCTGCTGGGCGGCAGCCTGCGGGCAGAAGGGAATGGAAATGTGATGGAGCTGGGGAGGGCTGCGCTGGCATGCCACGTGGGATCAGGGCTTGGGGTAGTTGAGCTGCCCATCTGGAGTTTGCTATTTCCCCCTTCGTGGAGGGCCCTTTCTGTCACCAGTCTGGAGCCTGGCGTGGGCCCCTTCCCAGCACTGGGGACGGGGGCGGCCCCTGGCCCACCACCACTGGCAGGTACCCACCTCCTTGACAGTGCAAACCAGGTTCCCATAGCAGAAGAAAATGATCGTCAGCGGGATTGTGAAGTGAACCACAAACATGTAGATGACAAAGGATTCGTTGTTGATCTCTGGCTTTGGAGTGTAATAGTCGATCCCACACGAGCATTGCATGCCCTCGGGGATGTACCTGCAAGGTGAGCGAGGCAGGTCAGCGCCCAGCAGAAGAGACCAGCTGGAAGCCATGGCCGAGTGCTGCCAGCCAGGCTCCCGCAGCCTCAGGTGCCGGGCACAGCACCCTCCCTACCTGGACCAGCCAAACAGTGGGGGAGTCGCACACGCGAAGGCCATGACCCAGGAGAAGGCAACGCCCATGATGGCATGGTTCTCCCCGAAGCGGAAGTTGCTCATGGGCTTGCAGACCACTATATATCTCTCGATAGCCAGGACAACCAGCGACCAGAGACCAACTTCACCTACACCAGGGAGAGAGAGGGATGGGGACACAGAGACTTTGAGCAACAGGAGGAGAAAAATGCCCTGATGGCAGCACAAGGCCTCCTCAGACTGTTGTTCCTGAGGAAGACCCCTGGCAGCAGGTAAATTTCCACCAAGGGTTTGGAAAGAGAAATGAACGAAGGCCAAGTGCAGGTGCAGTAGGGAGGCATGAGAAGACACGGCCTCACTGCACTGCTGACCCACACTAACCACTTTGCTGCTGTGTTTTGAGATCCATGGCTGGATCCTACCACTCATCCCGGACAGCACCTGCACCTGCAAGCCTACGGTCCCACTCTGAGATGCAGTGAGTGCCCATCATCCCAGGATTTCCCCTCGCTACCCACAGCTTCCCAGGAAACTTGTGCCACAAGGACCAAACCAGTAAAACAGTTGCCTGCGGCTGAAGGCTGAGCTGAATGGAGGAGGGCGTTTTTAGACACAAGTTTTATTTAACATCAGTTTTGGTCAAAGCCCGGCTGGCATGGGGAGGAAAGCCAGCTTTGCTAGCCTGCACCACCATGCACTGCATCAGAGCGAATGACAGACTCAGCCCCACGGAACAGGAAGAACAAATTTGTCATCTCTCAGGTCAGAAAGCAAGCCAAAAAGATGTGCAAATCCAACAGCTGCAAAATCTGCTGCTGGTGGCTTTTCATTACTGCACTGTTGTTCTCAGGGTACTGAGCAGGTGGCTACCAAAATAAGGTCAAAAAAAAAAAAAAAGGGTCATTAGTCACTTTCTTCACCTCCCACCCTGAAACACTGCAACTGCCTTGGCCCACATCAGCAGCAGACCAAGGACCTTCCAGATACCATGTTGTTTCAAGATCATCTGGGCATCCTCCCTCCCCCTTCTAAAATCTGGGGCAATTCCTGGCAGAAGATTTTTGAATATTTGGAAAACTTACCACCCAGCGTAGCACAGAAGCCTTCGATGTAGCACCCTGTTACTCCAAAGACAAAGTACCCGTTCATCGAAGTGTACATGGTGGTTGTGAAGCCTCCCAAGACCATGAAGAGGTCAGCGACCGCCAGGTTCAGAAGGATGTAGTTTAGAGGCGTCCGGAGCTTCTTGTGCTGGATGGTGACATACAGCGTGAGGAAGTTGACGGGGAAGCCGAGCAGGATCAGCATAAACATGTAGGCAGCCAGCGCCGAGAACTTCCAGGGGTCAGCCAGGTAGTACTGGGGGTATTCGAAAGGGCTCCGCACCACCCCGGTCTTGTTGGACATGGGCACGTAGAAGTCTTGGCCTTCTGTCCCATTCATGGTTGCGGTTTGTGAGGTGCCTTTGGCTCTTACTCAAGGGTGTTTTTTGAGCGTGGGGGGATTGCCTCTGAAATGGGGCTCCTGCCACCTCTCAGCCTTCGCTGTCACCCCAAGGAGAGGTGGCTACGCTCACCTCCGCAGGGCGCCCCTTATAAAGTGCCCCCTGGGGTAAGCTCCAGGCATTGGTGTCAGCGCGATTAGGGCTTAGAGAATTATTAATCATAATCATCCAGGGGTAATTGGCTTTCCTGGGAAGGTATTAAGGTGACACCTGTTTCTGGCCCACGCTGTAATTGTTGGAGACCATGGCTCACGGTCGTACATAAAGAGGTAGCTCTGCACCGCACCTTTCATTTGGGGTGGCCCAAAGCAGATGGCAGCTCCACTCGCACAGCCTCGCTCCTCAGCATGGCTGTGCTCCCCAGGGAGCAAGGGTTTGGGGTGGGCCCTGCATCCATGGCAGTCTTTGCACCCCATCATCCAGAGCTGGACATCCACAGCTCATGCTGCTGTTGCCCAGGGGGAGGCATTTGCCCCCCCCCCCAGTCCACCCTCCATGGGCACTCAGGGGCCTGCTGCCCATCTGTGTGAAATGCCTCAGTTTCCCCACAGAGAGATACTGGGAATAGGATGCATTACCATCGGGTTGCCAGGCGGAGGGTGCCAGGGAAAGACAAGGCACATGGGGATCCTTCCCTTGGCTGCATTTTCTCAAGGCCCCCAGGCTGAGCTTTCGGCTCTCGCCAACAAACAGAAGCTCCTTTCCGTCCCCTGCTAACAGGAGGGAAGTCTGTGGTTCAAAACCCCACGACTGTAGGTTTGGGGGCTGCAGAAGGTGACTGGGCTGGGCAGGTGTGGTGTGGTCCATCAGTGATCGTGTTCTTACAAGGGGAAGCAGGTCCACGACACCAGTTAGTCCCCACTGGAGAGCCATCCCCACCGGAGAGCCGTCCCCACCATAACTGCCATTCCCTGTGGGAGGCTGCAGAAGGGTGCTCTCAGGCAGGACGAGCATCACCAACCCTTCTTGCACATGCTCTCAGCCACCTCTTTTTCTGCTACAGGATTTGGCTGGGGAGGTTTGAACACCACAGTGAAACACTGACCCTGCTGGCAGGTTTCCAGTTGTACCATCTCCTCTGTGCCTGGCTTTGTATGTGGTTTGGGTCATGCCAATTACATTGGTAACACCTAATAAATAACCTAGTCCATCTGTCCTGGACAGGTATCATTCTGCACTGGTGCTGAGAAGGCTGCTGGACAAGGGCACTGAAGGGAGGTTCTGAGCTGAAGCCAACACTCAACTTCATATGCCAATTGACAGACATCTTCGGTCTCCCCGAAACCTTGCAGAATCATCAGATTCCACAGGGGAAGCTGTCATTGGAGCCTCCCATGTCCTCTGTGTCTCTCTGCCTCCCCACTCAATTGTGCTTAAAACGTTCTTTGTGCCAACCAGCAACTGAGTTAGACATTATCTTTTCTTAATTTTCAGAGGCAATGAGACATATACAGCAGAGTGAGCACAACGAAGCCAACTGCAGAGGATGTCTCTTCTGGAGAAGGTGGTTCCTTACAGTTCACACCATCGTGATTAATCTTTTACACTCCAAAGCTATTTTCCCCATCTATTCTCTTTTTTTCCACCCACTGTTTATCACCTTTCTCATTAGCAGTCAGTAACATTCCAGCTGGCAGGCAGGTACCAGCTGGTTCCCCCACAGAGGCTAGGCAAGGACTGTCTGCTCTGCCCCTTGGTAGGGGACAGAGGCTGGAAGGGACCTGAGCACCTCCCCTTGCCGTTCTGGCTGCAGCCGGGGGCTGAGCTGAGCGTTCCTTGCAGCCAGGAGCAGAGGAGTGGGTAACTGTGAGTGCCTCATCCAGCACAGGAGGATGTGCCAGAACCGCTGGAGCTCATGGGTTTGAGGTGGGCAGAAGCTCACGTCCTCTTGGCCTTAATAAACTTCTTCCAGTCCTGGCCTAGTTTTTACCAGTGTTCCCCCTGGGTTAGTTTAGCACATGCAAAAAGTTTAAAGGCAAAAAGCACAAAGCTCTGTACTCTCTTTAAAGAAGATACCAAGCTGGGAAACCTTCACTCTAAGCGGGGAAGGTCTAAAGGAGCTAAAGTGCTGGCACCACGGACAAAGGAAGACCTGGCTGGCTGTAACCAAAGGCAAGCCACAATCTCTCCAGACAGTCCCAAAGGTCTTCCTTCACATCAACATGAAAATACCACGTCCTTACACACACTCCGCTCATCCCAATTCCCTCTCAATTAACTTTTCACTCATGTTGCCAAGGCCAGAGCAGTGCCATTATCTAATTGCAAATGCAGCTGTTCATAGTTGTACCTGGGCATACAAGAAGGATTAAAGGTTTATCTTCTCAATACACAAATATGCCACCTTAAGCTCTGATGCAATAAGCCACTGCTGAGGTTAGCCGCTGCTGCTCGAGCTTAGGGCCTGGCGTGCGTCACCACTGGAGTACAGCAGTAGGACAGGCAAGAAGTCATGAAGTAGAACAGGGCAAATGGAAGAAAACAGTTGGTCAACCGCTCACGGTCACTTCAGAGAAAAGCGCCGTGGTGGGACTTCTTGTACGTCCAGGGACTCCTTATCATGAAGTTACCCGAGAGTTTCAATGGCACAGGGCAGTCTGGAACTAGAACGTCTTTACAATGTACGAGATGTGCCGAGTATGTTTTTGCCTGGAAAAGCCCAATATACTTTTCAAACCTAGACTTTATTCACAGAGCTGTTTAAAAAAAGAAAAATGCTTCCTTGCTTGATCCATTTTGTCTCTGTGTCATGACAAACCTTATCTATTTATTTTTATAATTTTTCATTCCCACTAGCTCTGCAAAGCCAGCTCAGTTCCAGGAGAACAAGCCGAATTCCATTCTGGCTCACATCTCAAACAGCATTGTTTATCCATGTCAATCGCGAAGTCTTCATTGCAAACAGTAACAGATGAGTCAAAAAGCAGGCGAGTGGTAATTACAACAGAATGTTTTTGAAGTGGTAAATTAAGCAAACTTGGTCAGGAACCATTGAGGGACTCAGAGACCCTGTAGTGCCATTGCAGTGTCACTTTCAAGAGGAACTCAAGCAGACAGAGAGACATCACTAGTTTCATGTGCAAAGTGCTGTTTACATGGTGGCTGCTTTACCAGCACCCAACAACCTCAGCCAATAGCTTAAGACAGTAAAGTAGAATATCATTTCCCACTCAAAACAAAGGGAGGCTGTGACAGACGGGATGTCATAACAACAATAGAACTCATGGTAACATGGGCACAATTTATACTGGATTAAAGTCAAGAAACCTATCGCTTCCCAGCTCAAATCCAGCCCATCTGGTTACCTACGCAAATTCTCCTGCCGTCGGAGAAATACTCAGTGACTGTCCTCAGGAGAGTCAACTACCCGCGAGTACGATGGTGGGCTGGGTCTGGCTGGGATGGAGTTAACTTTCCTCACAGCAGCCGTGTGGTGCTGTGTTTTGGATTTGTGTCTAAACCAGTGTTGGTAACACACCAGGGTTGTAGCTATAGCTGAGCAGTGCTTCCACAGCACTGAGGTTTTCTTTTTCCCCGCTCTGTCCCCCCCAGCGATAGGCCAGAGGTGGGCAAGAAGTGGGGAGGGGACAGAGCTAGGACAGCTGGCCAAAGGGGTATTCCACACCAGATGATGTCGTGCTCAGAAATAAAAGCTCAGGGAAAGGAGGAAGAAGGGAGGATGTTGTGTTTGTGTGTTTGCCTTACCAAGTAACCATTACTCATGCTGAGGCCCTGCTCTCCAGGAAGCAGGCTGGACATCTGCCTGCCACTGGGAAGCAGTGAATAAATGCCTTACTGCTTTGCTTTGCTTGCACGCACAGCTTTGCTTCACTTATTAAACTGTCTTCATCTCAACCCGTAAGCTTTTTTGCTTTTGCTTTTCTGATTTTCTCCCCAGTCCTGCAGGGAGCAGGGGGAGTGAGCAAACTACTGCGTGGGGGCTTAGTGGCTGCCTGGGACTGACCCACCATGTTTGGTCAAGCAGCTGCATCATTAGAAACACCTCAGCCTCAGCAAGAGGCTGAAATAAAAGGTGGCAGGTCCATCTCCTCTCACCTCTACACATTGTTTGCCCATGGCTCTGGACTGAAACAATGGTGGGGAAATAGTGCTCAGAAATACTCCTTTAGCACATCACTCCACTGGTCAGCATGACGGCCAAGAGATCTGTGCGAGCTCAGACAGGCGCGTGCGTCCACAGCAAAGGTACGTTCAGATCACAGATGCCGCAAGAATTGACAGGACACCAGGAATTGTGGGAACTATCCCGTGACTTCAGTACCACAGCAAGTTACATCACTTACAATTTTCTCAACAATGAAGAACTCTCCTATCTTGGGTACAGAGGCAGCGCTGTGGGAAACCACTGGCGGACTGTGAGCCCTCAGCTGCTTTGGTATTCCTGCCTGGCACCCTGACATATTTATAAGTGTGCAAATACATTCAGTTTAGCCCATCAGGTCAGTGGTGTTTCTTTCATTAGTAGTAAACAGGCTACTGTTACTAGGATGACATATGCAGCAGTGGGCAGTTGAGGTACTTATGTCTGGGTAGCTTGGTTAGCATGAAGTGCATGCTTCCATGCGCAACCTGGCATTTTGCATTTTAACAAGGGTGAATTCTACACAGATTAAAAGCTTCGACCCCTCTCCACTCAATGTGGCTGTGAGATGGTCCTCGATGCCAAGATCGGTGTAACTCTTAAGATCATACTTTAAGAGCTCTAAACTCTAATGCTGTTCTTGCCTAAATGGAATAAAAAGAAAAAAAAAAAAAAAGCTCAGACGGGGCAGCATTATAGCAAATGCCAAGACAAAGAGTAGTGAAAAATAGTCCCATTTATTTGAAGATCTGTCAATAACGGGTACATATCAAGGAGCAAATTGAGTCCTAACACAAGTTGGAATAAAAACGATTACTTCGAGGCTGAACTTGACCCTAGAAACATTCCTGTAAAAATCTGTGGCACTTCAGCTGCTTGCCTGGGAAATGTAGAGGACGTTCACAAACAACAGACACTTTCATTTAAAAAAAAAGTTACATTTCTTCAACTCAGT